AAAAACAATAATGCACCATATCCCTATGCATAAAGTGCTTCTTCTATTTATAAGGTTGAAAATTCTGAATAACCCTTTTAGCATTGTTAAAAAAAAAAAACAAAAACAAAAATGGAAAAAAAAACCTTGTATTTTGTAAATATTTTCTTTTCCTGCTTTGAGCTGTGTATTGGCAGCGAAACATGTAGCTGTCTTTGTTCTATAGAAATGCTTTTCTTCAGAGAAGCTGATCTTTGTTAATGTCTTGATTCTGTTCGCAAAGCACAGACTAGTGCTTAAAAAAAAAAAAAAGGAAGGAAAAATTGAAAAAAAAAATAATAAAAAAAAAAGTCACAGAATGTTGTGTTGCCAGGCTTTCCTTGACGTTGGACGGGCTCTGCATGGCGGTGGCGGCAGCCTAGGGCCCTGCCCTGCCGAGTAGTTCTCTGCGTGCCCGGACTGGCTCCGAAATTTCGGGAGTCTCCATGGTGTCTCCGGCCACCTGGCGGGGTCACCTGATGGTCACTAGGGAGAGGCTGTCGTCAGGGGAGGTAAGGGGTGCCTGGAGGACAGGGGATCTCTGTAGATAATCTTTTTGTTGGTTGTAAGTGATTGATCATCGCCTCTTGATGTGCCTTTCTCCAGGGAGACCAGCATTGTGACATCTTATCTCTCTTCTAAATGGCTGAATTCTAAATGGAGATTTCACCCCTCTCCGTCTTTTGCTGGGGTGTTTTTTTCCCCTCCCTGGGGTTGGGGTCAATGAGAATGTGTATTTTGTAACATTTTTCTGAGGTGGCTAAGTTCTGGATTCTCTTTGTATAAGACAAGTGAGTGGGCAGGCGTGATCCCTCTACTCTCCTTCCTTCCTTCTCCCGGCAGTCCTGGTGATGGAGCCCGGGAAGCCCCGGGCCGACAGATCGCCGTGAGTGCGCGGGCAGCGGGGCTCTGGCTGCCCTGTTGTTTCGCTGGCTACAGTGAGGATCTGCCCTGTGGGAGCTTCTGCCCGCAGGGGCTCAAGCAAGGGGGGTGGGGGGAAGAAAACGAGTCTTGCAATTTTGTATGAAGATCTAAGGGTTCCTTGTTAGGACGTTGACCTAATTACTAAATAATACAACCGGTTACGGTTTTCTGTTTCGGTTTTCTTTGTGGCATTGCTGAGGGCTACCTGGTGTTCCGGTCCTGATGTAGCAGACCTCTTCCCCCACCTAAGTAAGGACCCAAGGGGAGAGGAAGCCACTCCGTAAGCCATTCACTCAGCTGGCTGGCCGGCCTAGAGACGGAAGACTCTCTCCTCCGCCTAGCCCAGCCTCGGCAGGTCGCAGTATGCGGGCGCGGGTCTGACGGGCTCGGAGGTCAGCCCCACGGGTACTATCCTCTGAGTTGGACCGGGATGGTTGGCGAGCAGCAGAGTCGGAGAATCAACTCAGAATGAAGAAGTCTGAGGACTCCTCTTGCACCTCCAGGGCCCTGGAGAGCTGCTAAATTCTGATGTCCAGGTTTTAGCAACCTTGACATTCCTGTTCCGAGCCAAATTCTCAGGTTGGGAAAAGACTCGCAAATCCTACATCCTGAATCATTTTCTGCTTTGAATCCACGCACAGAGACCTTACTTAATCAGTAATAACTTTATTTCCAAATTCACTTTTACAGCAACAATCAGTGTAAATCATTTGTTAAAACACACAATACACCATAGGGACATTCACAGACAGGAAGCTAAGCTAAGATGGTTTCATGTCCCTCCCCCCACCCTCAAAATTACCGAAGAAATCGTGGGACTTGCAAGTGCCAGAAGTTGTCCTGCCCAACACTGCAAATTCACGGGGCGAAGTCCATTAGGAGGGGAGACTCTGGGCCGGTGCCCAGGGTAACCCTTTTCATAGCTGAAGAGAAACCAGAAGTCTCGAAGCCTCAGACCCATAGATGGAACAAGCTGACCACCTCCACCCTCGTCCCCACCTGTTGGCTTTAACTTGGGGACAGATAAAAGACGGTGAAGGAGGAGCTCTTGGCAGCTGCCGGAGGACAGGCTGCGTGTCCGGAGCTGGTGGGAAAGGTGACACGGAGGGGCCAGCGCCTTAGATGGAAGGGTGCCAGGGCCTGTGGGAGGCAGGGCTGCGGGCCTGGGGGTCCCCGAGAGAGGGCAGCTGTACGTCCAGGCTCCTGCACGAGCCTTGCTGCCGGCACCGGGCTGGGCGGGGGACAGGCGAGCCGGCAGCCTGCTGCCCTGGGGAACTCTGTCCGTGGAGAGGCGAGACCCCAGGGACCTCTAGCAAACGGCTGATCTGAAGAAAAGGGTTACAAGGCGGTTGAACTGCTGCCCTCCAAGACTTCCCTCTGCCCGTGGTAACTATCTTACAGGGTCCTCCCCCCTCCCCCCAGAAGCACGACAAGCAAACAGGATACAGTCTCCGCATTGAAGTCAAGTTAAATGGAACTACTGATAAGTGAGTGGAGGGCTCGAAGGGACCAGGCATACAGCACAGCCTGTCTGGGACGCCCGAGGGACACTGACTGTGGAGGCGGGGGGGATGGGGGTGGCAGAGTGCCCAGCCCTGGGGGGCTGCGGGGGGGGGGGGACTGTCCTCATTCAGGGTCACGAGCCAGCATCCCTTTGCAGTCCCCCTGGCAGCACTGGCCCTCCCACCCTAAACCATGATCTCTAGGCCGCCCCCAGTAGACCGGCCCACCGGGCAGATCCCAGACCCCTCCGAGCAAGGCCCTCAGAATAAGGTCTGGAAGAGCAGGGCTCAGCACCTGCAGGAAGCGGCAGCCCGAGTCCCTGGCGGTGAGGAGGGGCCGCGTGTCCAAGAGCTACCAACTCGGAACCCCATTTCCCTTCTCTGCCTCAGGACCCTTCTAAGGACAGCTGGGGCTCAAAGCGGTGGAGAGCCTCACGGTGGCCGGTTCTGGGCCCCGATGATTCCTCGCACGGAAACCCCGGCTGCAGACGAAGCGCCCGGCCCTGGAGAGGCGGCCCTGGACTCCCAGCAGCCCCCAGGGTTGCCGGAGCCGGGCCCCGAGGTTGCCGAGTTTCTTTACAGCGATTCTCCACAAAGGCGGTTCCCTTGTCCCCGTGGGGGCAGAGGGGCCCGACCGCGGCTTCGGGCCGCGTGGCTCCCGACTCGTCAGCGCCCTGCGGTCGGGCAGCTCGGGCAGCTCGGGCTCCCGGGGCTCCTCCGGCGCAGGCGCGGGCACAGCTTGCGGTGGGACCCCAGGCCGAGAGGGGCTGCGGGCCTCTCCCCTGCCGGCACTGGAGTCCGAGGCCCCCTCTCAGGGCTGCTGTGACCCGAGAGGCCGTCTTCCTGCGGCCAAGCAGGCCGGCCACGCGCTCCGCCCCGACAGAGGGAAGCCCCGGCGGGGCCGCGAGGGGGCGCCGTAGCTCCCGGCCTTCCTCGGAGCTGAGGCCCTCGGACGTCACAATCTGGTCTCGGGTGGGTCCCAGGTGCTGTGAAAGCCTTTCCAATCCGAAGGCCCCAGCAGGGTGGAGCCACACTGCCCCCTGGAGCCGAGCCCCAGTGTGGGGGGGTGTGGGGGGGAGACATCTAGGACCCCCACGGGGGTGGGTTAGAAACCTCTTCACAAGCATTTCCAGATACATGCGTCCTTTTTTTTTTTTCCTTTTATCATAGTCTGGTGAATCCAAGCATAAACAGCTCCGACTACAAGGCGACAGGGTGCAGACGGGGAGGGAAAGGCGACGTCTATGTATATGTCAGCTGCTGCGGCAGGACAGACGGCACTGCTTCCAGCTGGGACGGGCGACGAACTGTTTCCGAGGGGGGTGCTCCCCTTCCGGGGGGGCCGCATGGTGCGGGGGGGAGGTCAGGCGGTGGCGGGGCTCTCTCAGAGGCTGGCGGTCACAAGCTTGGGCGCAAGTGGGGGGACGTGGGGCGGGGGTGGGGGCAGTGTGGTCCTGCCCCGGGGGCCTCGCCTGCCTGTCCTGGTGCCACCTCTGGAACCGGGACAGCCAACCGAGCTGCCTGCTCAGCTCAGGAAGGGGGCCAGGCCCTCTGGGAGGAAAAGGCTCTCCGAGTAAACAAGGCAAAAACATCCCGGGTCATCGCTGAGCCCACCCTGGCCCACGTCTGTGAGGAGAGGCGGGGGGCAAGAACTGAGGAAGGTCGTCAGCTTCGTGGGGGCCGCACCAGCTGGTGAGTAGAACTTAAGCCAAGAGCCTGACGTCTCACCGTGTGCCCGGGCTTCGCCTTCACTCGCTCACCCCGTAGAGGAGAGCAGGTGCCTCCCGCATCCAATGTCTGAGAAGGGGCGTGGTGAGGCTGGGGACTCGGGACAGCGCGACGTAATGGGGACAGGCAGTGACTGGGCTCCGCACAGCGGACACACGGGCTTGGCGGTGGGTGGGGGAGACAGGTGGCTGCAGCAGCCCTGGGAGGGGCGGGAGGCTCAGGACCCACCTGCCGGAGTCCCGCACGCTCCCGAGACGCCCGAGGCCCAGGCTTGGGAACAGGCGGATGCCCCCAAGAGGCACGAGTCCTTACAAAGAGAACTGGTTAGCCCTAAAGTCCCAGGTCGGTGAGGTGGCCAAAACCGTGGCTGCAGTTCCAACCTTCAGAACTCAATAAAACGGGGTTTCCGCGGGGCCGAGGGAAGCCCCTCAGCTCAGGACCCCCACCCTGCAGGGAGGGAGAAAGAGGCCAGCACTGGGGACATCAAGGTCAGGCTTCTCTGAGGAAGTGATCGCAGGGTGCCACCCTCCCGCCAACCGGCCCTTCACGGTACGGGAGGGACCGAAGCCCTTCTCCAGAGGGTGGCACCCTGGCCCGCAGCGGACCCCGGGCCACCAAGCACAGGAGGCCACTTGGTCCAAGTTTGCTGCGGGCGGCAGGGGCAGTGGGCCCTTCCTGCTGCCCTTCCAGGAGGAGGACAGCGGCTCCTCCCCACCCAGCACCTCTCACCCCCTCCCACCTCTCCCTTCTGCCCCCTGCCCCCCCACCCCTGGCCCAGCCTCTCCCTTCCCCTCCCCTCCCCTCCCCTTCCCTCCCCACCCGCCCCCACCCCCAACAAGGTTGACATCGGCCTACGGCTCCAACATGGCACCCCGGGTTCAAATCCTTTGTTGCTGCCGCTGCCTCTGTGACACCCCCAGGATGGAGCAGGGCAGGGGCGCCCCCAGTCCCTCGAGATGCCCCAGAAGCAGCTTTCAGAGCCTCTCCTCCCTCCTCTACTCAGAGGGGAAAAAAAAAGAATCAAAAGTAATTGCCCAAGGAAATGTTGGGTGTGGCCATCTTTTTAAATGTTTTTAAAAATATTTTATTGTTATGAGCCCACCCATCAATTTGGAAAGATGAAATTTGCTCTTTTGCCCCGTCACTGATTTTGAAGTCCCGAGCCAGAGCCGAGCGACAAAAGCAGGTTAAGTGATTAACCGATGAGCCGGTCTGTGAGGAGCAGCTGGGGGAGGGCAGAGGGCGAAGGGCCAGATCATTATTCTTTTTTTTTCCACACTCTCTCCTCTCCACGATTATTGACCGCCCCGGGGGCCTGATCACAAACCCTGCTTGGCCAGGGAGGCGGACACTTCGTCGGCTAGCGTGGCGAGCTGGGGCGAGTCTACCATGTCGATGCTGCCCGTGGAGGACACGTTGCTGAGGTGCCGCGGAGACGTGTCCCCGGACACCACGGGCGACTTGTACACGATCTCCGCCCCGTGGTCGGTCTTGGCTTTGGCATTCTCGCGGAAGGTCAGCTTGTGGGTTTCGATCTGCAAGAGAGGAGGCGAGGGAAGGCGAGTGAAGCCACAGAAAGGCGGGCAAGCCCGGCCTGCCCACGGGCCCGGGGTGGGAGGGAGCCGTGGTGGTGGCGGTGGGGGCTGTGTGATCACCTTCCCGGAGGGGGCACCCGCGCACGGCTCCCGCGTCACCTGCCTGCCGGCCACCCGCTTCCCTTCTCCGGATGCAGTGACCGGCGTTCGCTTCTTGTGTGTCCTTCCAGAGATGCCCACACGTGCGCAAGCCCGTGGGATGTATGAAGGGTGTCCGTATATTTAATACACACGGTGACAGTATCCACATGCTTTACGCTTCGGCGTTTCGACCTAATACCTCCCTTTATCGGCACCCGCTTTCCCCGATGCGTGCTGCCGGCGGCGAGGATTCCGTCGCCCTGTACCAAGACGCACCTGCTCCCCAGGCGCGGGTCTCCGCGCTGTCCCCGCCTTTGCCTGTCACAAACAGCGCCGTGTCTGAATACCCGCGTGTGCACAGCATTTCACACGCGGGGAAATGTATCCTCGGAGCGGAACGGCTGGTGGGTCAAAAAGCAGGTGCGTTTGATTTATAGATACTAACAAGTTGCACATGAAAGCGTGAAGGATGGGGCGCCTGGGTGACTCAGTCGGTGAAGCGTCTGCCTTCGGTCCTGGGTCCTGGGATCAAGTCCCACGTCGGGCTCCCTGCTCGGCGGGGGGGGTCTGCTTCTCCCTCTACCCCACCCCCCTGCTTGTGCTCTCTCGCTCTCAAATAAATAAATACAATCTTTAAAAGAAAATAAAAAGCATGGAGAGGAGCCGGAGAGGAGTAAGGGACAGCCCCAGAGTCACTGCTGGCTAGCCATGAGCCACATACATTCCTCTCCTCGCCGGTGACGGGGGGGTTTGGAGGTGGCAGCAGCTGTGGGCAGCCCTGGAAGGTGGGCTAGAAATCCGGACGTGATGAAGTCCTTTTTCAAGTACAGAAATGATGACATAGCCAGGGGTCCAGAGGTCTTTGCTCCACAGGATGCCTGGGACACTCAAAGCATTTGCTAGAAATGTGAGCAGTTCGTAATAATTCCGGATGAGCCCTGAAGTGGTGGACACAGGAATTCCCTACTTTTTTGGACCCTGGAACCGTTGTGCATCCGGTGAAGCCAGGAAAATGTACACACAGGCAGGCATGCGCTCACCCACCCACAATTCTTCCACATGATTTCAGGAGTCCGTGGACCACGGGGTGAAGAGTCCCCGTTGCAGGGGGCTTGAATGTGGGTGTAACGAAAAACCAGGCTCCCATGTAAGCTCTACGCTTATTTTGTCCATTTTGGTGCAGTGCTTTGCAAAAAGAGCCTTTCGGTATCACTGTATTCGAAAGGCCGTGGGGACGTAAGCTTTGATAAGAGCATTAATGTTGGTGTCTTGTAGAAAAAAGTGATAGGGTCCTGGAAATGGCCCCAAATCTCCCAAACTGGAAGCAGCTCTGGCGGCAGGGGTCTTGTGCTCCACTATGCGTCAGCAGTTTTGCTCATCATGTCAGGACGTGGGGGACTGAATACGAGGGGACTCTCTGGGATCAAGACAGTCTCTTCTGGGTGGTGGGCAGGCCCACCCTTTCTGAGCCGGCACAGAGGTGAGTTAAAACAGAAGTTCACACTCAGGCCTGACTCTGACTCACATTCTTAGACGGCTACAGAGTACCAGGTATCTTCTGAACATGGTCTCATTTGGGTCTCCCCACCACCCAGGGATGTGGATATTTCTTTCCATTTTGCTGACAAAGAAATGAGCCGAGAGCACTTGTCCATCCTGCCCAGGGTCACACCTCCAAGCAGAGTCAAACCCAGAGCTTTGCTCAGGACATAGAAGCTTCCAGAGATGGGCGGAGACCTTCCCTCACCCAGGGAGTCAGCAATGCCCGGGCCTTAAACCAGGAAGGGGGCAGGTGACAGAAGCTAGCAGAGCCGCTGGGCTTTTGCCGAGAACCTTCTCCACGGCCCCAGAGAACTGGGCCCTTCCTCACTTCCCCTGAGGCACATAGCCTCCAGGACCCTCTCTGACGAGGGACCCAGGGACGGAGAATTCCTGCACCTCGGAAGCCGAGTTTCGGGAACCTCTTCAGGCCCACCTTGGGGTCGGGGGGACCGCATGGGGCACTGTGGGGAGCCAGAGAGCACAGGGCCATCCAAGGACCCGTGCCCTGTCCTCCGCCCCAGCCCCCCACCCTTCGGGGAGCTCATCTGGGGGTCAGGTGTGTCCCCGGGCCTGAGTCTGCAGCCTCTGCTTTAAGCTATCCCAGGGGGGGCTTCTCCAAAACTGACCGTTGGGCTTTCACCTCAAACACAACATGGGGTGCGTCTATCAAGAAGGCCCGGCGATGAGCCCGATGGGGGGCAGGGGGGCTCCGATTGGCCCTGGGGGCTCCCCGCTGCTGCCCTGCCCAATGTGTTGTGCCGGCTGCCACTTCCAACCAGCCGGGCCATCTCGGGCAGCACCCTTTCTCACGCTGGGTCGGGTCTCAGAGTCTGTGCCCATTCTGGAACCCCCTTTCTCCTCCCACCACAGCTCTGTCAGCTGCTGGGAGGCACTACAAACTGGTAGATGAGCCATTTCCAGAACTTCATGGCAGGCGTGGGTGGGAACCCCCCAGAGGGTGCTTTGGCTGCAGTTCTGCAAAAGAGGAAACGTGCAGCCACGAGCCCACATCCTGTGATGCACTCAGAGGGAGCCTGCTCGGGGCCACACGCATCCCCGTGTCCCCCTCCCCCGTGCTCACACAGTGAGACCCGGAGGCTCAAGAACCTGCGGGGATCGCCGAGATCCTCGGGCCAGCAGCCTCCCCATGGATGTTTCCGTGCCAGACAGGCAGGGGCTCCGCAGGAACCTGGATTTCGGCAGCACTGTTTTGCTCTAACTGCCTAGTGACCCATTTAGAAAATTAGGTTATGCTCCCATGACTTGTTCGTGGTGCGCTGGGGCGGGCTCTGGGGCTGGCTACCTCCTTTTGCGGATGCTTGCCAACCACGGGGCCGAATGCTGTCACCGAGGACAGCGGTTCTCACCTTTAACTGCCCAGCAGAATCCCCTGGGGGCTTTAGAAGCTCCAGGTGCCCAGGTGGCACCTGAGACTCATCAGAGTCTCCAGGTCGGGCCCGGGCATCAAATCTGGTAAAGCTCCCAGGTGACTGCAACGGGCAGCGAAGGCTGAGACTCACGGTCCTGGGGGCTGCTGAGAATCCACATCAAGCCGATCAAGACAGTCCCCTCAGCTTTCCTCCCCTGGAAAACTGGACCAGGTTTGTCCACTCCACTCCATTCACAGCCACATCCAAATGCAGCCTCCTCCCCACCCTGCCCCCTTTACCTTTTTATTCCCTCCACCAGGGACATGGGTGATGTTGTCCAGGGACCCGATCTTCGACTGGACTCTGTCCTTGAAGTCCAGCTTCTCAGATTTTACTTCCACCTGGCCACCCCCTGAAACACAATGCACACAGCACACCGTGCCTTGAAGGAGGGCGGAGCACGTGACGCCAGGTAGATGCCGGTCTCTCCGAGTAGGTAAAACTATCCTTCATTTAGAAGGTGCTCTGGGCCCAAGTAAGCCCTTCCAGAGGGCTTCACAACAGTTTGCTCCATCTCTCTCATCAAGGTGTGCATCCAATATTTGCTCAACAAACACTTCCTCTTTCTTTAATGCACAGGTCAATGACAGCTCAGTCCAGGAGGAATGGTTCCACACTCTAAACTGGTTGGCTTCCAAAGAGTGAAGTCCTTCTATGTCAACATCCTGTAAGGCACAGCTCTGCAAGATCTCAGAATGAAACTAAATGGCAAAATGCACCCTAACCGAGGAAGGGGCCTGACCCTTCTCCCTCCTCGGACACTCGGTGCCGAGCCCAAGCATGGGGGACACAGCCTGAGGAAGAGACAAACAGCATTCCTTTCTGGAGAAAGGATAAAGCCACCCAAGAAAGCTGCTCCCAGCATGGTAGGATGATGGCACCAGGTGAGGGATGGTTTTCACTGGGAGAGACTAAACCCCCACGACATGTCCCAGTGAGGCCAGAACCTGACGAGACACATTCCGGACTATGTTTCTGCCAACCTTCTCTCCCCACGGGAACACTTCAAGTAAAGGTTCTACTCTGAAATCGGGCTTAAGGCAGAAGCCCCTGCTCTGGACTCCCAGGCAGGAGTTAAGATTCTAGATCAGCGCTGGACAATACGGAAGCCACCAGCCACGTGTAGCTACTTAAATTTAATTAATAAAAAAAATTAGTCATTTCGTCAACTGCACTAGCCACATTTCCAGTGTTCAACAGCCACACGTAGTTGGTGGCTACCATACTGGACAGAGCAGGTCGAGAATATTCCCATCACCGCAGAGAGAAATCTACAGATAGCTCTGGTTTCTACACGGTGTGGGACGGGGAGGAGAAAGGTAAGCACGGCAGAGCACCAACAGTATTTTCTGTTAAAACAAAGTCACAGCAGGAGCATGGCAATGGCTGGTGAAGTGTCCCCCCCCACCCCCATGTCGGCCGGGGACCAAACCGGAACAATCCAAAAGCCAGCAATCCACAAATCAGGCCCTCCCCCAGCTCCAGAGGCCCTACGTGCACCTGCTCGGAGAACGACGAGTTAGGGTTTAGGCCCAGCATCTGCCCTCCGTCCTCGCTTTGCCTTGGCCAGCATGGCGCCCGGCTCAGAAGCGAGACAGGGCAGCCACTCCTCCAGGGGCCCAGCAAGTCCCACCTCCAACGCTCCCCTCGTCAGCCCGACCCCTGCATCCTTCCCAGCCACTTCAGGAGAAGCCCCCCGCCACCCCCGGCCGGTCCCACCCTCCCCCGCTTCCCGCCTTCTGCAAGGGCTACCTGGCTTATGATGGATGTTGCCTAATGAGCCACACTTGGAGGTCACCTTGCTCAGGTCCACTGGTTTGTACACTATTTGCACCTGGAGGTGAGAGAGGATGAGCGAGAGACAAAGAATAAAACAGGATGATTTCACTGTGGCCGGAACAACATGAAAAGCAGCTGTGTCAGTCAGATCAGGCCCTGCTGGGGACAGTGCTTCCTGTCGCCCCAAGGAACACACGCTCGCCATGGTGGGAAAATGTACTGTTGGACTTCTGCCAACCCCGCCCCGCGGGGAGTCGGGTCTTCACACAATAACTGTGGGACTGGAGTGCCCTCTGTCCCTCAGGGGAAAACAGGGAGACTCTGTCATGGGGCAGGGCCCACACCGCTGGTTTCGGTCCCTCTTCCCTGACATGACATGGACATCACATTCAGTGGGGACAAAGCAAGAAGGGATCAGCATGGTCCATTTGTGCCACATTTAGAAAATCTTGTTGGAAAAGCAAGGAAGCTAGGTCTGCTGGTCGCTGGGCCTCAGAGAGGAGCGGGCGGAGCAGGGTTGATGGGTGGGCTTTCTCCCAGGACAGCCTCCCACAAACCCTAGCACTACAGTGAGCACGGTGACAGCAAGCGGGACCCAGAGCCGTTAGGCAACTCGGCGGGAAGAGCCAGCCAGCACCTGGACACACAGTGTCCTGGACATTTCGGTTCTGTAGCCCAGGGAGCAAAGAGACAGGAACTGGGTAGGCAGCACAGAGGAACCCGCTGGGACACACACAGGTAGGGGAGACCTCAGGGCTCCTCAGAACCAGCTGAGGGCCCAGCATATGGCTTGGCCACACCGCCCACCCTCCGGAGGGGGTGACAGCCCCTGAGCAGCCCACCAATCTCAGCCCAAGACCCAGCTCCCTGAAGCGGGAACACCCACAGGCTCCGCCGCCCCCCCACCCCCGGCCACATAGCCATGGCTGAGAGGGGGTCCCTGGATGGTCACTGATGGACACTTCTCAGAGCCTCCAGCAGCCACCTGTGTGAGCTCATCTGTGGGTACAAGAGGCCAGTCACCGTGGAGTGGGGAGTTGGCTCCCACTCTCTGCCCCCGGAGTGACCCAGGAGAGAGATGGCCTGGAGCCAGAGAGCCAGAAAAAGGGGGACATCTACTCCTGTCTAAATCATCTGGATCAATTCCAAATTAATGAAAATCGTGCTGGCATTTGCCATTTATTGATGGAGAGTTGAGGCCGACAGGTACCCATGGGCTGTGTGTGTGGGGGGGGGTGTGCAGTGAGGCGGGGGGTGTGCCTCTCGGCGCCCCGCGCAGCCCGCGCCTGTGAGGGTGAGCGGGTGGGGAAGGAACGATTCGGAGGGAGTCCAGCCTGGGAGACAGCGCGTGCTGCGCGGGGCGCCGAGAGGCGGGGAAGGGGCTACGGGGCTCCTCCTGGCGTGAGGGAGAAGGAAGTAAATGCTGTGAGCCAGCCTTCCTTCTTTCCCCTCAGCCCGGATGAGGGAACAGGGAGTGAAGGGGAGGGCGTGGAGAAGGAGGAACCTGGACCGGCAGAGGGAGAAGGACTGCTTGAGGGTAGGAGCCAGGGCAGGGGAGGTGAGGCGGACTGGAGGCTGGGGAGAGGAGGCCAGGCCCAGAGCCAGCCAGGAGGTGGGGAGGATCCCGAGATGGACACGGAGCGCGGTCTGCCGGCTGGGAAGTCACCACCGGGCTCAGGAAGAGAGAGCAGCCAGCCAGAGGCTGGGGCCCAGGCCAGCGGTCTAGCGCCCCCAGAACACCTGAAACTGCTTGGAGCTCCCCAGCCACCTTGCACCAGGAGAAGCGCTTTCTGTGAAGGCTCCTACTGCAAAGGACCATGCTCAGGGCCAGCCTGAGAAATCCTGGGGCTCCCAGGTCATGCAGGCTGGCTGTAGATGGGCAGAGAGCGCAGGCCAGACGGGGTGTGTGTGCGTGCGCGTGTGCGCGTGCACGCGCCCCCGAGGAAGTCCCCTGATGCCCTGGGCATTGCCAGCAGCCATGGGAAGCTACGGTCTCCCCAGAACTCACACCCGGAGGAGCGGTCTGCCGGCTGCGGTCCCCTGGACCCCACAGCCTAGGCCTGCCCCGCACGCCCGCCACCAGCGACCAGACCGGCGTCACAGCAGAGAGCACGTGGCCTTCCTCCTCCGCCAGAGCCCATGACACCAGAGCACCCGGAGTCAAAGCTGACACAGCCACCCACACGCCACCTGGAGCCCGGGGGGCGTGGCTGGTCCCCACACCTTCTCTTGGCTTCCGGGAGCAGTGGGACGGGACAGCGGGGACCAGGGACACAGAGGGGACACGGGGCAGACACCGGTGGGGAAGCGTTACCGAAGCGCATGCAGCAGCTGCGGGAAAGCACACGCTAGTCCCGGGGACAAGCGGCGGGATCCAGGTGCTCAGCAGCACATTGCAAGAATAAACCCGGGCGGGGGGCTGGACGCAGGGGTGCGGGCCCGGGCTGGGCACGTTCTGGAGGGAGAGCCCGCGCAGGGCTACCACCTTCCCCCTGGCACCGCCAGCCGGGAGTGAGATCCCTGCTCTCAGAAACCGTCCCCCCACGAGGGGGGAGGGGACCTCAAAGGGGCTCGGCCCTCTCCCTGCGGTGTGTTTAAAGGTGGGCTGCCAGCCAACCCGGAGGCGGGGGAGGGGGCCGGGTGAAGGGGCGCCCCACCTCCAGACGCCCCCACTGTGAGTGGCCACGGAGCGGCCGGAGGGCAACAGCAGAGCTGACCGAGTGTGTGGGTAAGAAGTGAGGACGCCAGCCCCAAATCTCAGGCCCTCACCCACTGGGAACAGCAGGAGGGCCCGGGACACTTGCAGGAAGTCACATCTAAGAGGGTGCAAAGCCGCGTTTCTGTCAACCCCTGACCGCTGTAGGCAGGGACCCCTGGTGCACTGTTTGGGGCTCTTTGGCACCTGATCCGCTGGTGGCGGGGACTGGTTTTACACCCGAGCCCGGGCTTAGGGATCTGCTCATCCCTCGCAAACGCAGGGGACAAACATGGACAGAGACTGGACTTCTCCTGCCCTGAAGTAGGTCAGGAAGACGTTGTGTGGGCTTGTCAGCCCAGGTGGGCCAGCTGTCCACGGGGCTGTCAAAGTGAACCCGCCCCGGTGACAGGGGAGGAGGTGACAGAGCCCAGTCCCCAGCACTGCCACCTTCAGCCCAACTTCATGCAGGCTGTGGGGCTTCCAGGAGCCCGTGGTGGGCGGTGGGTGGCGCCGACCGGGGCTGTTAGCGGTGAGGACCTGGCCTCCAGGTCTGCGACAGAGAGGGGCTCGGTCATCTGCCCTTTACCGCCCCTGCAGCCTGCACAGCCCAGGGAACCCACGGATGCTGGGGCAGCCCTCCTAGAAGAGTGGGCACGGCTGCGGGAGCCTGGGCTGCAGGCAGTGGGGCCACAGACAGACCCCGAGCCGGAGAATGGTTTATTCTCTGCAACGTCTCGCAAGTATCCACGCTCATGCTGCTCCTTACAACCCGCAGTACGGCGCAGGGAAAGTGTGAGCGTACTCACAGCGCCGCCTCCTGGCACGTGTTTGATATTATCCTTTGAGCCACACTTGGACTGGACGTTGCTAAGATCCAGCTTCTTATTAATTATCTGCACCTTTGATAGCCAGAAAAAAGGATGAGTGACATACTGTGCCCAGCTCCACCTGCTCTGTACTAACACACTCCCCTGTCTGGCTTCCGGGCGGGGAGAGGAGGCCCCAGGCTGAGGGCAGGGGCTCTGAGCCACACCTTCCCAGGGGAGCTGCCCCAGGAAGGCATTCCAGAACTGTGGGTGACGGGTGCCCCTTTACAGCGCTGGGCTTAGAAAGCACATCCACCGGGAGGCGATTCGCATCACCGAGGCCCCCCCGGGGCACGTCGGAGGCCTTTAAGCCGCAGCTGAGTGTCCACCAGGCTGGGATGGGGTGAGATGTGCTCAATTACATAACTGAATGAATAAATCAAAGAAATACAAAGTTCCATCTGTGCCTCATTCACACACCTACCAGGCCCGCCGGAACATTCACGAGAGCTTTCTGTGGCTGCCCTCAAGCCTGGGAGGCGCTGGAATTACCTGCAGATTTTTTGTTTTTAAATCTCAGACCCCACCCGGACCTAGAATTAGAATCTCAGTCTCTGTGCTTCTAGAAGCCTCCCCTGGTTGCTTCGTTCGGATGCTCGCCTAGGTTTGCGAATCGCTGACCTCTCGGGGAGGACGCAGATGGCTCTACAGAGAAAGATGAATCCAGACCTCCCTCCACGTGAGATATCCCTGTTTTAGCGGTGACTGATTTCTACTCAATTTGTCTAAAAACTGAAATACACAGACAACCATGGCAGAGAGAAGGAGAGTCTGGTCTGCCTGAGCAGTGATAACATCTTTATCCCCGGGGTCTCTCCCCGCAGGAGCTCCCTGCTTGGAAACAGTGTTCCTGTTCCTCACTGAGAACAGCCACCAGCTGGAGAGCTGGAGTTCCCCAGTAAGAACCAGCACTGCTCTCTGAAATTCGGGAAACGGCACCAACCCCTCCGTTGTGGCCTCTGCGAACAGCGGGCGGGGGCCCCTGCTCCGGAGACTTGGGATCCGTGAGGGTAACTGTGGTTGCTGGAGTCCCAGAGCCCTGGCCTGGCTCGTGGCGGGGAGAAGGGTCCCAAACTCTGACCCCAGAGCCAGAACCAGCCCTCAAGGGGGCCGCAGGTTCTCCGCAAAACGAGGAAACAAGGACATGATGGCAAAATCTGTCCATCCCACTTTCCCGTGTTAGAACGGCCTTTCCTTCATTAAATTATTAGTTATTAAATTACATTGGTAGCAGATCATGTTTATCATTTTTAGATGTCCTTAGCCTGACAAAATAAAGACAGAGTAATCTTCTCTTGGACCCCACCCCATTTTTTCCCCTAATCTCACTGGTCTGGATCAAAACACTGGGTAAGCCCACACCTGTCCCACCTTTTTCATTCTCTTCTCGGTTCCTTTAAAATAAAAAGCTATGTATTTTTTTTCCCGTTAGAAAAGTAACATAACATTATGATTTTGAAAAATATGTTTAAAAAAGCAAAAAAACAGAAGTTTTCCCACCACCCTAACACAACAATCACTTTTTGTTCTGTTCCCTTGAAGTCACAGATCTATAAATAAAACTACCATCACGTACATATAAAGGGTAGTAATTACTTACATACACTTCTATATCTTGCTTTATCAAGTACCATCACCTTCAAAGCATTTGTTTTACCTACAGTCACGAAAAGCACTATTTTAAATAGTATGTCATATTCCATTTTGTGACATCTGTGTGATCAGATACTTATTTTAAATAACAGAAACAGTCTCACCACGAACATCTTTTTGCAAGTTCTTTCCATATGATAGATTATTTTCACAGCAGAGTCCCAGAAGTAGAATTTCTGGGTCAAAGTTATAAATATTCTAAAAATTCTCAATACAACTCTCCAAGTGGCTTTCTAAAAGGGTCGGATTAATTTACCCTATGAGCACCATCGAGAAAGTCCGTTTCGCCACATGGCTGCCAATGTCGGGCATTTTAAAGACTTGGTTTGCTTTCTTCGATTAAAATAAATGGGACTGCATTGCTGGCTTATTCTGCTTTTTTTTTTTATTATTATTATTACGAAGTTGCCCCTTTGCCCCCTTTTTGCTGGTAGATGTATTTTTTTCTACGAATGTTTATATCTTTATAGACTCAGATTCTTCCTTTGTCATTTCTCTGGTATTTATTTATCTATTTATTTATTTATTTTTAAGAGAGGGAGAGAGTCTGAAGCAGGCTCCGTGCCCAATGTGGAGCCCAAGGCGGGGCTCGATCTCATGACCCTGAGACCATGACCTGAACCGCAATCAAGAGTCGGATGCTTAACTGACAGAGCACCCCAGGCGACCCTCTTCTCTGGTTTTTAAATGTAAAAACCACTCCTCATTTAGAGGTTGGGTAAATATCTAATTCCACATCATCTTCCTCACCTGCCATGCCCGTAACTTCGTGATGAGGAGGCCATCTGAGGTCCTGAGAGGTTCAGCGACCTTCTCACATCAGGACATAACTACAGGCTCCCCACGTGACAACAGAGCTTTGCCCCAGCTGCCCTCAAGGACACTTTCTCTTGGTGGACGCGGAAATTCTCTTCTGGTGGCGAGGAGATGCAGTGGCCATGTCTCAGCCCAGGCTGGAGTGGGAGCAACAAGTGGGACGGGCTCTCTCACCCTGCTTCTCAAAGACTCACTGCTGCCCCTCGGCACAATGTCTCTGAATTAGTTCATGCCATCCTCAGATTTTAAGGAGTCAGACCTGAACTCCTTCTGTGGGGATCATGTTTTACTCATCCCTTTCCACTGGTTAAGTCCCAGAAGCCAACTTGCCTGCTTTCACAAAGACACTGCGGCAGTCTAGTATTAGAAAACACACACACGCAAACACACAAAATATTAACGCAACAAAATTAAAAGGATAATGGTCAAAGAGGGAGAGGTCATCAGGACTGACAATGAGACTGTACATTACACTGAACTCCGAGCTTCCTGGAAGCCAACGCAAAACGGGAAACATGAGGAGCTACATAACTCTCTTTATCTGACAAAGAAAACTTACCAGTTTTTCAAGGAAGATAACGTTGTTTTCTCAACTAACCCTTTTAAGAACTTCACCAAATGAATTTGGCGACATTAGGCAACAACAAGATCTGCAATGTACGTAGACTTTTTTTTTACGTGGCTTTTTCTTGTTCCAATCCCACACAAAAGGCAACAAGTTTTTTTGTGGGATTTGGCAGAGGCATAAGGATATTTACAAAGCAGACCTGAATTACTGTTAGTGGTCAGATAAAGTCAACACCCTTTACAGAGTGTTAGATTTACATAAGGGAGATGAAAGGGTTGGCATTGAAACTGGAATCCAGAAACTTAATTTCTCGGCTAGAGTAACATGTAGGATGTTGAGCCTCAGCTCTGAGCAGACACTGAAAATCCTCATCAAAGGAAAGAACAATGTTTTTGGAGCTCCGAATTTTGATCCAGGGGACTCACAGTCAAGGGAGAAATTCCTGCGGTCAGGGTTTGATCCAGGAGGAAAGGCTGGGGTGGGGCGGGGCTGAGGACAGCTCCACTTTGGTTTTGTCTATTTCCTTGAGGACCTGAAGCTGTCCCAAAGGCTCCCCGGGTCTTGATCTGATTCGGTGTGGGCTCAGAGCTCTCAAGGTACTCCAGATGGCCCAGTCCTCCCCCCAGGAGTTCCCAGGCTGGCCCAGCATCCACCGGCCGTCCCTGGCAAAGCCTGACTCCAGCATAGCCTGGTGCTTGCTGGGCCCAGCTTGGCTCACTAGAGTCGACATACCTGGTGCATCTTTAAAATGATGGTATTTACACAAGATTGTTCAGAGATACAGATGCTGTGCACAGGGAGAGGTGCCCGGAGGGCCTGGGAGTTACAGGGCTGTCCCAGGGAAGGGTCCCAACCTGGTTCTTCAGGGCCTGGCACCTCAGCTCGGGTTCAGCTGAGTCCCTGGCCCTGATCCAGGAGAGGCAGACTATACCAGGTACAAGCTGACTTAACTTATTCCACGTAAATGTTCTGTGTGCTTTTTACAACGAGAACTGGGACTCTGTCACTAAATATGAATTTTAAAAATACAGTCTCCAGTGCTCCAGCGTGGAGACAGGCAGCATTCTGTTGCCATCTAGTGGCCATCTGGAATATTGCGGCCCCAGGCTCCGGAGGATGGGCGGGGGAGGGGTGGGGGGATCCTTTGGCTCTTGGTTGGTTTCTGTCCTGCCTGGGGCCCTCGCATCGCACGACTGGTCTGGACATCCTCAGAGCCACAGGCACCACCCCAGTTCTGACCAGGCGGCCTTGGCCCCAAGTGAGCTCCGTCTCTCTCCAACTCTGGATGGTCCCTGGGACCCCTGTTCTTCCCTCTGTGCTCCGCACTGAGCACGAAGAGGGATACTGAGGGCTCTCAGTGGGGTTGCATTAACCTCACGGAGCCCTCACCCGCCCTGCCTTTCAACTCTGATCCTCCCAAGCTCAGTCCCCACAACGCAGGGACCATGCGGCCTGACGGTCCCTCCCTGCGGGCAGTGCCCTCCACCACCCTCCTTCTTCTCCATTCTCTCCTGTCCTGTCAGGGCAAAGCCCCGCTGGTTCACCACGGACCCGGCGGGGACCTCCCTCCATCGCTGGCAACTCCCCTGGGCTCCCCTGGTGTAAACGAACACAACTCCAGCCTAAACCCTAAACCCTAAACTGGCCGCCCAGGCTGATGCCAGTTCTAGCTTAATTTTGCTTTTGCTGTCAACATCTCCAGGGTGCGGTTTCCCTCTGTCCTCTTTCAGCCTGTGAAGCTAGCACTCTGTGCAGGGGACTGTCCTTTCAGAGACCAGATGATGGTCCCCAAAAGGGTCTGTCCTGTCTTCTCTGACTTGTGGGTGACACTTCGCATTGTGGGTGACAGTCGGTAACACAGGTGACTCTCCGTGTGGGGGACCTTCAGTGTGGGGGACCCCTCCCCGGTGAGGGCGGCTCTCTGCTGCATCTCCTTCCCTGGCCAACCTGTCCTCTTGCCCCCTTTTCTCTAGGCCTCGGGGGCAGGAACTCTCCGCACAGAGCTTGGCGCTGAGAGGGGACCCAGGACTGTCGAATGAATGAACAAAGGACGGGAGGAAGGAACCAGCTTTCGGTGCTATTGTCTGTCCTATTGTACTGGCTGTGTTTTCGAATTTATTTCTGCTCTTACCTTTGCATCTGCATTCTTGTTTTTTGCATTCTTTTTTCCCTCCACCAAAAACATAATTGCTCTGCTGCAGCCATTTAATTTTTTTAAATAACAAAATTTTTTTGAATAACAAAAGCATTTAAAATGATGAATTCCTTTGAAGTACAATTTAGGGGAAGCTCCACATGACATACGGTGTTTGTTACCAATGCACGCGGAAAAGGCATTCTTCACTTCCAAACTGAAGAGTACGTGACACAGGACAATTTTTTAATTCCCAAGTACTTGTGGTAATGTAGGTGATACGTACACAATCAGGTTCTGGGGCAGGACACTGAGGGAATAGACAAGTGCAATGTTTCCCTGTATTTATAGGTCTTTTTTTTTTTTTTTTACAGACTATATGGATTATTGGCATAGCATCTGATAAATCCTCCGCAGGATTTATATCATACAGTTTAATTCCTGGTGTTTAAAAATTTCCCTTCTCGGGCACCTGGGTGGCTCAGTCGTTAAGCGTCTGCCTTCGGCTCAGGTCATGATCCCAGGGTCCTGGGATCGAGTCCCACATCGGGCTCCTTGCTCGGCCGGAAGCCTGCTTCTCCCTCTCCCACTCCCCCTGCTTGTGTTCCTGCTCTCGCTGTTTCTCTCTCTCTGTCAAATAAATAAATAAAATCTTAAAAAAAAAAATGTCCCTTCTCAATTACTTGGACTTTCTATGTCCTTCTATTTTTCTTTTTTGCTTTACTATCATCTACTGTAACACTTCCAGTTACAATGTATTCCTATCCATGTTTTTCTGATTAGAAATGTTTTCACTGTAGAAAATTTGGGAGGAAAGGGAAAAACACACAATCTCTGAGTCATTATTGGCATTTTGTCATAGTTTCATTTTCTCTGCAAACTTTTTATATCAACAGTAGGCAAAACCTGAATATTCCTACACTATTATTTTTTTTACATTTTTTCTATTTATTTGAGAGAGAGAGAGAGAACATGAGTGGGGGGAGGGGCAGAGGGAGAAGCAGATTCCTCGCCGAGCAAGGAGCCCGATGTGGGACTCGATCCCAGGACTCTGGGATCATGATCTAAGCCGAAGACGGATGCTTAACCGACTGAGCCACCCAGACGCTCCCCTACACTATTATTTTTAACTTCATAGTATAACATTTATAAATGTTTATATTTATAAAAAATTTTTAAGATATTTTTAGTGGCTACATAATATTTTATAGTATGGCATCACCATTAATCACCTCTCTATTGTCAGGCCTTTAAATTGTTTTGCTTTGCAATTCTAAATAAAGCTCAATGCACACTTCTGTGCTTAAAGCTTTTTCTGAGTTGGATTTTCTTCCTTTCCCCAATTTTAGAGTACAAAACACTTCTCTTGTTCTGTGTGAGGGGACCCAAAGATCTCGAGGTGACCTTCAGCTGAGTCCAGAGGAAGGAGACAAGAGACCCTTTGACAGATCACTGGTTTGGCAGAATGAAGTTGTGAAAACTATGGACATTCCTTCATTATGTCCAAAGGGACTGTATTGATTTGCAGCTGCTGTGGGATGAAAGGATGTCAATTTCATGTCACTTACACCTGCAGTGGGTAGTTTATTTTTTTAAATGTGTTTGTAATGCTGGTTCTTCTTGTATGAACACCTCCCCACCCAAGAATAGGGCTGGGACAAAGTCAGAGCTGGGCTGCAGGACACAGGGGCTGGGCCTGGGCTGGGAATAAGCTGACTAAGGAGGAGGCAGGTGCATGGGATCTGAGAACGGACAGGGTCAAGCCTGAAAGAGGAAAATCAGTCTTCAGATCCCGGGTGCGCAGGAGACCCTACTGGGGTCGAGGCCAGAGCCAGCAGGTGAGAATCTGGGTCTCAGCAGGGACTGCACATTGAGAACACCTTGGGAGGCTCCCTGGAAGATTCTAATGGGCCTGGGGAAGGTTCTGGCACTAGGATTTTTAAAAGAATCTCCCCCTCCCACCCCCCAGGTGATTCTCTTGCCGTCAGGTAGGAGAGCCGCTGTCCCCGGGGACAGGCATACGTGTCCACATGCTGGCCTGCCTTGCTTTCTCCCCCAACCTTTGGTGGATTCAGCTGGTTCTGGCCAAGTGGCCAAGTGACTATCTGCATTTTCCTTTAAAAATAATTCCGTTCTGGAATCTTCAAGCAATACCTGCTCATAGTAGCACATCATGAAAACAAAGTACAAAGCAGAACACAGATGTTTTACACTTTTTTCCCGGCCACTGATTTACATTGATCCTCTGCGTCTTCAGTCTCTGTAGGTTTTTCAAACTGGGCACTCTTGCTTCTCCTTCTTCAGTGGGACCTGCTATTCAAGGGGTCGTGGTATTCTTCAGACTCACAGCGCCGTCCCTTTTGCAGCTGAGATAAGCACCGACTGAGCACTTACAGTCTGTCGGGCCCTACGGGAGGCCATGGGGCCCCAGCAATCTCAAGGAGGCCTCAGGAAGCCTTTAGTCCAGGCATTCTGAAGGCCTTCTCCACGGATCCCACGTGCCTTCTTTCCTGTTTCTTACCTCTTCTTTTTCCCTGGAGATTAGTGATCCTCTTTGTTATGGCTGAGGTTTCCGACAATTTTCTAGGTTTTCCATGGGATTTAAGGGAAACTTACTCCTCCCTTGGCCACTTCCCTGCCTCTTCTCATACATAGTCTCAAATAAAGTCGCCCTCTCCCCTTTAATCCTTCAGTAAATGAGGACATAGTTCCGCAACCAGCATGGTAAGGTCATGGGAGCGGGGGGAGTGGGCCACTCGGAGCCTCAGGTCACTGGCCCCCATCCACCGGACTCCTCCTCCCCCACAGACAGGGCAGCCCTGGGTGTGAGGGGCAGGTCCTGGCCCCAGAAGGGTCCTCAGTGGGAAATGTTCAGCCCCGGCACTGGGGTCTCTGGAGAACTGCTGGATGGGCCAGGCGTGCCCACACTTTCCGAGCTAACCTCGGAGGAACTCAGGGCGGCCGGGGGGTGCGGCCAGGGCCGGAAGGAAGAGGTGGGTGTTTGCTGGTATGTGACAGCCCACAGGCTGGGGATGCTGATGGTGAGTGTGCCTCTTGCAGTCATGACTTGTCCTGAGACACTGGTCACAGTCCCACAACCGCCTTGTAGGTGTAGAGCTGGCTTGGTGGGGTTTTGTTTGCCCTTTTTCCACACAAGGGGCAAATGGTCCCGCTATGCTATGAAAACAGGGCACACACGGGACGCTCACGGCGCTGAGGGAGGTGTGCGGACGCCGGGGGGAACATCCCACCACCTTGGCAACCCTCTGCCCACAAAGCTCTGCAGAGGGGTCAACTTTCAGCCAACACCCCAGCGGCCCCAGAGCCCCTTCTGGAAGGACACAGGATCTTTACAAGGAGCAGCCAGGCAAACACCACAGAAAAATAAACAAGGGCCCAGAGCCAACCCTGTGGACCACAGACCAGTGGCCGTGAGCCCCAGGGCTCTACCCTGGGAGGCACCCAGACCTCCCAACTGGGCAGGACTCTTCAGGCCCCAAGGATGGGAAAGGCCAGGGGGAGGCCCTGAGGCTCCGCGGGGAGCAAAGCACAGAGTTTCGGTTAAGGCACCAACGTGGACAGAAAGCCCTGAGACGCCCTCCCTTCATGGAGACCCAGGCTCCTGCCAAGAGTGACATCAATAGTGCCAAGGTCCCCCGCTGTGGGGGGAGACGAGTGGTTCTGACTGATTAAAGGGAAATGCTGGCTCTGGGTGCTGTAACATTCTCCCAGCACAGCAGGAGGTTCACGGCCCCCCAAACGGCCCAAGCTGGGGAGGCCCAACACATCTGTGCTCCTAACAACAGAGCCTTGGTCCTCTGTTCTCCATACAAGCCACCTCTTCTCCCTTCTCCACCCCGCCCCCTGGTACTGGGGGGGTAGGCTGTTAGGGGCTGCACTGTGTCCCCCCAAATTCATATGCTGATGTATTAACTCCCAGTGCCTCGGAATGGGACCATATTTGGAGATAGGGTCTTTCAAGAATTGGGCCTCCATCCAGTATAACAGGTGTCCTTCTAGGAAGGAGAGACTGGGACAGAGAGGCACCCAGAGAAAAGACCACAATAGGACACAAGAAGGCCGCCATCTACACGCCAAGCAGAGGGACCTCAAAAGAAACAGCCCTGCTGATACCTTGATCTTGGACTTCTGGCCTCCAGAACAGTGAGGAAACACATTTCTGTTATATAAGCTGCCCAGTCTGTGGTCTTTTGTATGTCAGCCTTGGGAAACTCATACAACGGGGGACAGGGGACGAGAGGAGGAGGAGGGGGTCCAGGTCAGTCCCCACCTCCCACCACCTTAGGCCTTTGGAAGCTCACATTTCTCCACCTTTAGGAGACCCAAAGATCTCATGAGCGCCCACTTGCCCCAAAGAACCAGTTGTTCAGAAGGGTACCCCAAATTCCCCCAGAACTGAGGATTTTAGAGTAACCTAACATAGAGTAGAGGTTAGGTTTGGTGTCCAACGAACGCCAGAGACACTCACCTACAGATTGGTCATTTCTAAACACAAGACAGGTTGGGGAGCCCCTGTGGGTGCCCCCAGGCCATACAGCCAACCTCATAATCTCAGGGACCGCCTGTTCAGCAGGGGCTCAAACAGGGAGGGAAAGAACCAGTACTTTCTCTCGCCTGAGCAGGGCACTCACCGCGTGGTAGCGACCCCAACACAGAACTGAACCAGAGCTGCCTTTCCTTGGACAGATCCAGGAGGCCCCAGGGTGGGAGGGGAGGCCTGGGGGCAGGGCCGCTCTCCCACCTCTGCCGCAGGGGTGGGGGGACCCACCCTCCTTCTCCTGGCGTCCCGGGGGCCAGTCCCCGCCCGTGCGCCCTTTTACCTTCCCGCCTCCTGGCTGGTGCTTCAGGTTTTCGGTGGAGCCGATCTTGGATCGGACGTTCTTCAGGTCTGGCATGGGGACGGGGGCGGTCTGCAGGCGGCTCTTGGCTGAAGACGGCGACTTGGGTGGCGTGCGGACCACCGCCACCTTCTTGGGCTCCCGAGTGGGCGGGGTTGGCAGTGACGGGGTGCGGGAGCGGCTGCCAGGAGTGCCCGGGGAGCCAGGGCTGCTGTAGCCGCTGTGGTCCCCAGATTTCCCAGGCTCACCTGTGGGGACAGGCGGCAGTGAGGCCAGTGCTTGGGGAAAAGGTCCCGGGGGCTGCCCGTCCCGAGGGCCCACTCCCAGACGCAGGGCTGGTGAGGCAGGCGGGAACCAGGTCGGAGGCCCCGCTAAGCCAGCAGGAGGCTGCCCCCGACCTCATTTCTAGAGACATGTCTCTCCTTCCAGGCCTGGTCACGTAGGGACAGAGACTCCCTGTTTCCCAGGGAGGAAACAGAGTGGTCACCAAGGACTGCCTGGTACCCTTTCCCGAGGGGACAACTCTGCCCCATGGCCCCAGGGTCAAGAGACTAGGTCCAGCTAGCTGTGCGGCCTCAGACAAGTCACCTTCCCTCTCAGAGCGTACGGGCCTCAACTGAACATGGGAATAACGACAGTGCCCGCAGGGAGGGAGGCCAGGCACGGATGCGCATGGATGTGCTCTGAAAGACTCTAGTGCCATCCTATGTGGCTTTTCCCTGAAGAAGGGTGACACGGTGACAGGACCAGGGGCCACACTTGTCTGGATCTATTAGACCCTTTACTCACTGGGTGAATTTTAAGCTCTTCAGCAAGTTCCAGGCCCCTTTCCCCGCAGGCCCCTGCACAGCCTCCCTAACCTCTCTGTGGCATGTGGGCTCCAGAACGGGATGCCTGCTCTGTGTGCACCTGTCCCTAGCTCTCCAGATGAGCCATGCCCCCTTGTGCCGCCCCGTCCTGTGCTGTGCTCTCCAAGAACTCCCTTCCCCCTACGCCGATGCATGGCTGTCCGAGCACCTTTCCCAACTGCCAGGAAGGCTGCTGGGGCTGCTCTTTCCCCAACGGACTCAGTCCTGGCTCCCCAGCCTGCTTCCGTCCTGCACTTCCCAGACCCCCGCACACTCCAGTTACTATCCCATGAGCCCCATGAAGCAGTGTTCTCCAAGTGTGGCCCAGGGACCCCTGCGTCAGCATCTCCAGAGCCTTGGGTCAGGCGTGGGACCTGTAAGATGCAGATTCCCGGGCCCGTCCAGACCTGGAATGACAGAACCCCCTGGGCTGGGGCCTGTCCTGCTGGTTCCTCCCAAGTTCCCTGGGGATTCTTGAGCACACCTGAGTCTCAGAGCCCTGGGGCTGGATGCTGTGCCTGGGTGAGGGCCCGGCTCCCCTCGGCTCTGAGGGTGGCTGAGCTCTGTTGGTACCTCCAAGCTTCCCAGATACCCTGGTCCCTGCCCCAGGAACCATCTATACCAAACCGGGACCTGCAGGCCCCACCCTGGAGAAGGTGGCTCTTGCCTGGAAACACTGGGCAGCAGTGAAAAAGCGACTTCTCTCGTCAAGAGGCAGAAGAAGCCCGCCATTTTTAGAGTTTGAATTTCCATGTCTATTGGACGTTCCTACGGTCATCAAGCTCTGGGGCAACAGAACAAACAAAGCTTCTCCGCTTTTTACACATCGGGAAGCAACAGATGGGGCCTCCGCGCCAGGCTCAGCCCCCCGCCCCCCTGCTCCTGCCTCCAGGCACACAGGTGACCACTGGACTGGGGGTGGCTGTAAGTCCTTTCTGCGCCACTTAATTGCAGACTGACCTTGGGCAAGCCATTCAACCTCCTAAGCCTGCGTCCTCATCTGGGAAGTGGGGAGAGCGGCCACAGCCCATGGGGCTGATTTGAAGGCTGAATGTAGCACCAGGGCAAGTGTCCGGTGCAGGGGTGAGTGCTCACAGGGTGTGTGTTTAATAAACGTCAGCGGGAATTTCACACCTCCACCTTGGGCCGAGCCTCCAGCACCCACAAACAGCTGGAGACTCATGCTTCCTGCCCCCAGAGTCTCGGCTGAGGTTCATGAGAACACGCGGGAATCGAAAGGTCCATCAGACAGATGCATCTGCATGAGCCACAGAAAGAGGAGCAGGAACTCGGACGGTTCTGCGTTCAGGTTCAATGCGTGAAACCCACACCTCAGAAGCAGATCGTCTCTGCTCTCAAACCTAGGCCAACAAACAGCCACACACGCACAGCGAGTGCCCCACTGGGCGAAGCAGCCCCCGAATTACCTCGCGCGGATTTTGCCCCCGCAGGGGGTGGTTTTCTCTGCACTTGCTTGGTAGCTTAAAAAGAAAAATCCACAGAAAGCCTCATTATAATCAAGCTTAAACGGGGCCTCTGTGAGTCTTCATGCTGCAGGCACCAGCCAGGCCACAGGGCAGAAGTGAGCTGGGCAGGGAGTGTGTTCAGGGAGCAGGGGTCCCCACTGGCAGGACACAGGTCAAGGCGGCCCACCGAGGTCTGTCCGCCCGTAAGCTGCCACTCAAACGCAGGGAAGATCCAAAGAGAAAGGTGCATTCTCATTCCCAGCCATGTGAGTTGTGTGAGTCAACTGGCTTAATGCCAAGTGAAGAAAAGCAGGATCAAAATCATGTACAAAATCCAATCACAATTCTGTGAATTACCCTTATGTCATATGAATTATAGACAGGAAGAAACCATCCAGTGGGCATGTCGTGAGCAGAACATCCTTGCAGGCACCACCCCAGGGCAAAGGAGGCAAACGTCACCGCAAAAACATGCAGACAAAGGGCTCTGAGCTGCCACCCCAGGGTCAGCGCACAGCAGAGAGACCCCTGAACCAGTCCGGGCTTCTCGAGGCCTGTACAAGATCCACGGGGCCCTGAGCACCACCCCAAAGCCAAGGCAGGCCAGATGCCCCCGGAGTCGTGCAGAAGCCAAACCTGGTCGCCCAGGACAGGGCCCCTGGGGCGGGGGTGGGGGTGTGGGGGTGGGAGAGAGGAGCTCAGCCTGGCTGTCTCCCATCCCCAAAGAGGGCAACTATTCTTTATAGCACGACTGGGAGCAGATTCGCTCCACGGAAGCCTGCCTGGTACTCAGAACTAACTGGGCTTTACTCACATGAGCGCTGGGATATAGGCGCGGGGTGCAGGTGCTCAGCCGAGCCGCTCAGGGCCCGCCAAAGGGCCCCCTCCAACAAGTTCAGCTGAGCAGGGGCCACACCTGGTGTGAGGTCACCCCATCCCAGCTGCTGCTCTCTTTCCAGAGACACAGAGCCACCATGCGGGGGCCCCGAGGCTTGGGGTCAGAGAAACTCAGAGCATCCCCTTTCCTGCCACTTAGTCACGCGGCTGCATGCTCTTCATGCTTGAAGTGAGCTGCTCAGACTTCTACCTGCACATTCTTAGGGTCTTGAAAGTGGGGATTCAATATCTCGGAAAATTGTCAAAAATGAGCGCTCAGGTGTTTAGTGAGCTGCAGGTGTCCGTGTGTCCGTCAGCTACGGCAGTGATTAACTGCCAGGGGCCCTCAAAGATGAGGACTGCCCCTACTGACAGCCGGCCCTGACCTGGATTCCAGAGAACGTTCTTCTTACCGGTGCCCGGCGGGGTCTTTGGGGAGGGCGTGGTTTTCGCTGGAATCCTGGTGGCGTTGGCCTGGCCTTTCTGGCCTGGAGGGGCTGCTCCCCGGGGTGTGGCGATCTTCGTTCCGGTTCTACCATCCGCCCCCTGTCAACCGAAGCACGGTACAGTGGTTTTTACGACCGGGAAAGGTGACTCTCACCTGGAGTCCATGCCAGCCCCACTCAACCTCCTTAACTCAAAACGACGCTAAGATTGGGGTGACCCTTTGCCTGGTAGACGCAACAAGCGTCTTCCACGATCTCAAGGGTTTGCCGGCTGCACAAACCCATAGCTCCACCCAGTCGCCAAGCTCCCCGACCACCGTGGGCTCCTGGAGGAGCTGTTTACGTGAGTTCTCAGCATGAGTTGTGCTGTTGTGTTTTATCAAAAGGTAACAGAGCTTAGAGTGACGATCAGGCTCATCATCCACCCAGGGCCGATCGATGGGCAGGACATTCCTGTGTGGACAGCCATTTCGCGACTCTCCACAGGGATTCACCTGACTGCTGGTGGTTGGTTTCACCAGAGGCTCCCAGGGACACTGATGAACCTGACCGCGGGTGCTAACAGAGCTAGGTCATTCTTCTGTTCTCTCCCAAACAATCCTTAGGTTTCGGTGACTCCTGAGAGGGCTAAGAGCCCTTGGCGGGGTGAACACCAGTGCCAATTAGCAAGCTGGCCAACAGTTGAGAGCTGGTGTGCAAGCCGTCTGCTGACTGGGGGCAGTTATTGGGTTTGACCTTGACACATAACACAAACTCAAAAAGAAACTGACATTCACCAAAGATCATAGGATGGTTCAAGGGGAGTGGGGGGGAGGGTGCCCTTGCGGGACTGGCTCTGGGCGTGGTGCCGCATCTAACCCACAAGGGGGCGATCTGGAAGCACTCCCAGTTAGGGCGGTGATTTTTCAAACCAGGAAACCAGGGCCCCCTCGGGTGCTGTAAGGGACAAACAAACAACGAACGGGGGGTGGGGGTGGGGCTGAGAAAAACAGTGCCACGCCCCGCTTGTCCCAGTTCAACCAGAATTTTCACTGTTCTACGTGGTGCTTCTAGGTAAGAGTTTCTCTGAAGGAAGGTCTTTGTGGCTAAAAACAGCATCCATTTGAAAACCGTAGTAGAGTAGCCTGATTCTTTTCAAAGGTGGTTTCCTTACCTTGACTTTCATTTCCTTTGCTCCAGAACTGCCAGTTCGGGGTGTGACAGAAGAGACGTGTTTAGGAGAGGAAGATGACTCTGGGCACACGGCAGGGCTGGAGGGTTTGATCAAAGGGTCTGAGCTACCAGGAGTGGGGCGTTTGGGGCTAAGGCAAGGCCTAGTTTTCAGGGTTTTAGCAGAGGAAGGTGTGGATGTCTTAAACATAAACATAAATAAAATCAAAATAAAAGTCAGCACATGGGGGAGGGGAACAAACTGAAAAAGGAGAGTAACTAAAAATAAACAAGGCAGGCAATGGTTTAAAGCAGTGATCTCCAGACTGTCTGGATTGTGTACCCTTATCCCCTAAGGACCGAAAGTGGCCACACACCCTAACGTCCTTGTAGTTATCAGTTAAATACATATACTATGATGCCAACATATGACGTACATTATAAAACTTATGTTTGATGGAACTGTTAAAAGAGAGGAGAAAAAAATGGATAGAAGTTCTAGAATGTTCTTTAGCCCATTGGATCTTCTTGTGCTGCACCCCTGCCACTTTGGAGACCCCCGGTTTAAAGGTGTTTCACGCCCAAAGAGTTCATGGAGATCGCCAAAGCACACGATTCTTATGATGTTTTTCAAGAAAACATCCCCAATGTGTCATGGGTCAGCAGGGCCCCACCTTCCGCTAAATTCCAGGTGAGGAGCTCATGCTGGCCTGCAACCCTAGGCCTTCTTCCGCCACATGGAGAGTATCACACTGGCTAACATCAGGATTATGCCTATCCCAAGTCTTAAAGATTCTGCCGTACACACTATCTGGTAAATCCTAATCTGGCCAATGTTCACTCTTGAACACATTCTACCTAAGGAAAGAGTCTGGGTGAGTTAACCCAACAAGAGGCCGTGGGGCCGGACGACCTCACAGACGGAGCTGCCCCTTCGAGGAGAGGGAAACTGATGGACAGTGGTTAGCACCCTTGGTTTGTCCTAACTGGCTCTGGGGGACTTTGACCAGGAAGCATGGCCCTGGGGGAGGAGGTGAGCTGGGAAGAGGAGGAGGAGGAGGAGGGGTCACACCTTCAGGCGTAAAACAGAGAGGCCTAGTCCAGAGGTGTTTCCAAGAGGGAGTCAGAGCTACCAAACAAGGACCTGGGCTTTGTTTCCTCGTTGCCCTCGGATCCCCCACCAAAATGGCAGAGGCCCTGTGTGTGGCCAGCCTTGGCGAGGAGGAGGGCCCAAGGGGTGGGGAAAGGTTTGAGGGGACAGACACAGGCTGAGGTCCTGGAACTGGTGATAAGAAAAGTTGGGGGTGGGTACTCCTCCTTCCCCTGCTGCACAAGGCCCCCTTCTGCCAGCGGCACTCCCTGCCTGGCCCAGGTTCGTGCAAGATCCAACCCCTCCCTGTCCAGGGCAGGGATGTTGTTCCCATGTGTGCGAATGAATGAATGAATGGAATGCATGCATGCACGAGGCTGGGATTCCCCTGACGTGCATCCCGACTGGCTAGCAGCTCTTGCTACAGCTTCGCGCCTCTAGGGCAGAGCCCCCCAAGTCCCCGCAGGACCCTCAGCTCCTCACCAGGGTTGTGATGGCAAACCCTGACCCCCTAGAGGGGAGGCACAGCGCATGCTACCCATCTCCTAGAGCTACCCTCTGCCTCTAAGGACCCCACCAGGGCTCTGGGATGGGTAAAGACCCAGATATTTCAGGCAGGATTTATACTGGAAATTTTAGGTGCCTTTACAAAAAACAGGTCTTCATCTAGGGCCGCAGTGGAATTTTCCTGGGGAAACTCTACTGTGCATTTACGGGGGAATTTTCCAGGATGCAAAGTCATTAAGGGGGGAAACTACAGCTGACAGGAAGCACTGAGAAAACCAGCATGGTTCTGGATGCACTTTCGGTGGGAGCAGGTGCTTCATTCACTGCTCCTCAGGTTGGTTTTTGAAGTCTGACTAAAGCTTGAGTTGAACTGGCACCTTGGCAAGATTTCAAGATGGCATCTACTGCACAGCTTACGTCCCACTGTACATCAGCCCCACTCAGAGCTCTGCAGCAACCAACCCACCTGCCTAGAGTTCTCAGAACACGCATCATCTCTCCATGCTTCTGGGCTTTGCTGTGCTGTTCCTACTCCTCAGAATGCTGTTCCCATCCCTGCCTCAGCAACTCTCCTTTATATTTCCTTCCCCATCTGCCTCATAGATCCCCTCTTCTAGGGCTTATCCAGAACCCTCCACCTTAGGTTAGAGGTCACTTCCTTGATCAATGCTCCCTTGGCCACCTGAATAAACGGTATTTTCTCTACACCTTAAGTATGTGTGTGTACATATACGCTCACTGAGCCTGGATCTGCAGTGGGAAGTGTAAGATATGCAAAATTCAAACTTTATTGCAGAAAATTCAAGTGTATCTTTGTTTGCTATGAACACCTCATTTCAACTATGCTAACGGAATTGCAATTAGGAGCATGAATTCATTCATCTGCTGACCGCCCTTCCCTGGCATAAGCATCAAAGTGGATAAATGCTGGAATTGTAACTGTTTGCATAAAAATACAAAGCACTTTTTAAATAACAATCATCCTTCAGTGACAGACGTTCCCCACATATTACATAAAGAAATCCAGATAAGCATGGCTTCTTGATAAACTTGACGTCGGCAGAGGTTTGCAGTTTTGTCAGCTTACCTTGGCTTTTTTGTCCTCGGGTCCAGTCCCATCTTTGCCTTTACTGACCATGCGAGCTGATAAGATATAAAATGAGAATGTATGTTACACCCGATTGCAGAGCTCCTGGAAAGAGCTGGATACGGTTGCGCTGATTTCTTGGGATCCGTACAATGTGTTCTGTTCAGCTGGGCTGGGTGGAAACCCAGTGGATTTTCTTTCCCCTTGAATCTGTCTCTCATTGTTAGTATCAACAGGCACACTGGGATCACTGCTTGGTGCACCCTGACAAGAGGGGGCAGCAGGCTGGCTGAGGGTGGAGACATGCAGAGGGGGTGCGGTGAAAACTCTTCCAGGCACACGCGGGCGACAGGGGCGATCAGGGAAGGTAGACAGTGCAGACCCCATCTTTCATAGGCTCCTTCCCTGTCTCTGCCAGGGTCAGCCTCTCCCAGTGGGGACCGACCCCACTCCAAGGAAGGGCATTTGGAGGCCCTCGGGCCATAGACGGGGCAGCTCAGCTATGCTCCGACCCCCTGCGCGACCCCCGGACTCATGCTGTCACCCAGAAGCCCCTCGCTAATGGGGGCTATGGTCGCCAGCCCCAGCTGCCCTGCCCTCTGACAAGCCCACACCACCCCTGACCCGGCCGGGAAGGTCTTCTCACCACCTATGGGCCCTCCCAAGGGGACTAATCCTTGCCGTTTGCCCAAATTAGTTACAGACTAGTTACCATCAAACATTTTACAGGTGTCTCGAGTTTAGGACCAAACGGCAGGCGGCTTTTGTGTGTAGAAAGCCACGCCCCCCTGGTGAAACCATGTGTCTACCAGCATCCTCTCTAACTCATCCCTCCCTTTTGTTGACACTCTTTGCTGAAAATTGATGATAGATTTTCGTCCTTGGTTTCAATATCGTATTCCCCCTGCTGAAAAGTCAGTGGGGCCTCCTGGAGCTTCCCACTGGCTGCCGGAGACTGGATCTCTAGAGTGGCCCGGATTGACGATCCAGCCCAGAGACCGTCACACATTACTGTGCAGGAGACGGGTTGATAAAACACAGATTCCTGGGCCCACGCGAGACTCGGTAAGCTCAAGGTGGGGCCTACGAATATGCATTTTAATAAGAGCCCCAGGTGGAACTGATTCATGCTTTTGCCCAAATCAACCTGATATCACCATCCATGTCACAACAGAAGCATCTGCTAGATCCACATTTCCCAAATTGGGTACTACTGCACAAGTCCTCTTCCAGGAGATGTTAGCAGGTCAGATCAAGTAAATTTGGGAAATCCGTACTCTGTGTCTTTCTCAGAGGGTCATAATGTGCATTAGAATATTAAAGGCTCTGACAAGTTCTGCTGCAACAAACCTTGCTTAACTTTGCTTCACCTGTTTTTCCAAACTTATTGGATCACAGAGCTCCTTTTCCCCTGGACACATCTATCAATAGCCAGTATTCAATAAAACACCATTTCAGGAAACACTATTATAATTTGCCAAGTCACACTTATTTGTCCCCTACTATTTTGGAATTTAGGATATTTTAAAACAGGATAATATAGAAATTTTGGGGGGTCTTAAATTTTAATACAAGTTCCTTTATGTACAACATTTCAAAGTTCTCTTGACAAGTATAATCTAATAAAATCTAACAGATGTTTGCAATTGACAGCTCAAGTAACGGATTTCTGAGCCCTGTGAATAATTCCAACACACTAGATATCCTAAATGTATGAATGCACCCGACTAGTAACCATGAGGTCTCCACTGGCCTCCTCGTCTTCCTGACAGAGACGCCAACACAGGGGAACCTCCCCTATCACCTCTCCGGCTCCCGAAGGGCTGCTGTGCTGGAAGCAGGCTGGGGCTGAGGCCCCTGCAACCTCAGCACAGGGGTTCCCAGGCTGCCCCAAAGGAGGAAGAGAAGATTCAGACAGGAACATTTTGTTTGTGCTCAGTGTCTCCCCTGCCACGAGGCAGGGCGGGTAGGGGTGGGGCTGTTGGGCCAAAGGCTCAGCTTGGGCTCTGGGCTACCCCCAAATGCTCGTGTATGTGTCACCTGCTACATGTGATGTGTTGTCCACTGACAAGAGCAGCAGAAGACAGGCTCATGCCCTCTGCATCTCTGGGCTCGGAGGGCACACTTCAGAACCTTCTAGAAGGTACTGTGCTGAACAGGGAAGAGCGTGACTTTCAGAGCAGACCCACCTGGATTCTGAACGTGGCTCTGTCACTTACTACTTGGTGAACTTCAGCGAGTTACGTTACCTCTCTGAGCCTACTTCCTCATGTGCAAAGTGGGGCTAATTATGCCCTCTTGGAAGTGTTGGGAGGGTTCTAGACAATGAATTTAGGGCACATAATCAGCCCTCCACAGTGGACCAGCTGTTACTTGCTCTGCGGAGGGTGGCACACCAGCCACCTGTGGGCTGATGGACCGTTGTGGGTCATTCGGGGGGCCAGAGAAGTGGACAGGGTGGAAAGCACTGGGTGGGCTGGAGGTCACATGCAGCATGGCGGGCAAGCGTGAGAGGAGTGCGTGCTACCAAAGCCCGAGGGGCAGGAGGCGGCTGTGCCCGGGGGGCAGGTTTAGTGACCCTCCCTAGGAACCTCGGAAGCAGCGGGAGTCAAGGAGGGGCCAGAAGCTCAGTGGCAGTGCCCGCAGCCTGGATGCCACACAAGGTCGCCAGGAAGGAGCCAAGGAGCTCAAGACACAGACCTTTGAGTTGAGGGACCCGGCTGACAGGCTTCCCTGGCAGAACAGCGGCAGGCTGCTTTTCAGAAGGTTCTGGAAGGTCAGTCTTTTTTGTGTCCTCTCCCTCAGAAGGGCCCAGGGACTCTCGCTCCTCTCCAGGGGGCCCTGGGAGGGCAGCCCCTTCCAAATCCAGCTCTGAATGTCCCTGTTCCTTCTGCACGTTGGCTTTGATTTCCACGTGGAAGGTGAACTCGGGGGGCATGTCCTGCCCTTCCACCGAGGGCCCTGAGCTGGGCCCGTGGGGCTGTGAGGCCTCAATCTCTGTGGAGACGTTGGAGAGGAAATCGACAGGGAGGCGGATGGCACCCTCAGCTGGGAAACTGGGGAAGCCGGTGGTTCCTCTGGAAACTGTTGGGGGGGGTGGCCCGCCTCGGGTGGGGGAGCTCTGGGAGGAGGGAGGGGAGTCCTGAGGCAAGGACTCGTCCACATCGCGGTCTTCATCGACTTCCTTGCTCCCCCGCCTCTCTTTGCCACAGTCCCCCTTCAGAGGTGGCCAATCCTGGCGCAGGTCTCCCAAAAGCTGGTGCTCCATTGTCTCCAAGCCATGGCGACTGCCCTCTGTGTCCTCAGGTTCTGTCCCCGCAGGCTGGCGTGTGGCCTCCCTGGGGCCGTCAGCCTCGACGGGAGCCCCCGGCGTGTAGGACCCATGCTGGCCTGTCAGACCCAGGGTGCCCGGGTCGGTGGCCTCACCTTGATGGTGCCCTGGCTCCCCGAGTAGGCTCTCCTGGACAGCCCTGACACTCCCAGGTTCCATCTGGAGACTTCCAAGGGAGGTGGGCTTTGGAAAGGCCAGACCCCCCTTGACCTCATCCCCTGGTTTTGGTCCCCACTGCTGGTGGGGCTCCTGAGGGCCTCCTGTTGGAGAAGGTGGTTCGCAGATGGGGTGACGCTGGGAATGGCAAGAGACCACCAGTGCGGCGGCCTCTGGCCGTTTCTCCCCCAGAGGCAGCACAGAGACCCCAGAAGCTTCTCTGCCGTGTTCAGGCTGATCCTGAGAGCTAAGCCCGTTGACCGGGGGCCTCTCAGGTACCTCCCTCTGCGGGCCTGGAACTCTCAACTCCTCTGGGTTTGCAAAAGGTTGGCAAGGACGCGGTAATTGTTTAAGAGAGAGAATGCACTCTTGAAATAAGAAAAGGACATTTAAACAGCACCACAAGCCCAACTAACAAAGAAAAAGGAGCGTGTGCTCTGAGCTCCTCCTTGTTGCTTTCCATTGCTCAGAATGAAAGCTCTGCTGGTCTACCTAACACCGACTCACTGGGTGACGCTGGGTGGGCAGGCATCTCCCCTCTCTGGGCCTCAGTTTCCTCATCTGTAAAACGGGTGCTCAGACCTGTTGACCTCCAAGGCCCCGTTCAGCGCCAGCGTTATTCCTCTGCCTCTCACGGGCTCTGGGTGGGCTCAGAGCATGTCAGCACCTCCAGGGCTGCCAACCCCGCTCTGGGGCTGCCTTGTGCTGAATCTGCTAGGCTACAGAAGCTTCTTCTTCTCTCCAGGGACACTGAACTTCCTGAAGATTCTGGCCTCTAGATAGGACCTGGCTTGGGTGCAGGGAGGATACCATTTTCTCTCCCTCTCTGTTTCCCCTTTCTGCAAAATGAAACCAGCAGGTGCCCATAAACCAACCCCGCCTTACGATTTGGAAAATGCCTAAATTCATCACCACCAGGGCTTGAGTCTTTACTAACAGACCTGCCACAAGGTTCCTATAAACAGAAGCGCGATTCAGATTTATCTGGGTCATGGATCATGGATGGGCCTTTTGCATAAGGCGAGGCAGCCACTGTGGTGGGAAAGGACTCTGCATGGCAAAGACATTGCCTGCCAACGAGACCACTGTTTTCAGCCCATCCCACAACTAGCAGTTGGTGGAGGGCACGCTTCATTCTTTCTGGCTCAGTCGTGCGGCGTTCACGTGAGCCCTCCTTAAAGCACCTGGCCGTGTATTAAGGACAGGAGAGTCACGCTCTCTGGTACTCCTAACCAACACCCTTTGGTTTTTTTTAATTCCCAACCTTCACACCTCGCATCTAGTCCTGCAGAACAACCCACACAACTCCACCCTAGGACCCCAAAGATTCAGGGTACTGGAGGAGCTGAGGGGAAGGAGGTGGGAAATGCACGTGTGCACACAGTCGTGTGGCCGTGGACATACCTCTCACGTGACCACCCTCTCTCCCCACCCAGGCGGAGTCCGTGCAGACGCCGGCAGGCTCACTACCAAGAAGCCAGTCACAGCTCACCTCCACCCCCACGATTATGCCAGGGCCTCGAGATCACCATCTCCCTCATTTCGTGTTCCTAGCATCAGTCACAGTGCCTGCCCCCCAGTGATGATCAATAAAGGAATCTTGCATGGGTGAACTGGTATCAGGAAGATATGTTCTTTTCTGTTTTCTGCAGGGTCTACGGGCACCTTACTGGGGCCAATAGCCCGAACAAGAGACAATTTGAGCAGCTGCCTCAACACCATGACACCTCACCAACCAACCAGCTCGACAGACCAGAGGCCGCGTGCGGTAGGTGCTAGTCTTTACACCTCCTTGACAGGCCAGGTCTCCCTGCCTTCTGGAAAAAGCTTTCCTCCCAGAGCTTCCTAGAAATTGCTCGTGGTCAGGACGTGACCATACTGATATACCATAAGACCGTAAATGACCCTCATGAAAAGAGAGACAAAGGCCCCAAACATAAAGAGTAAACACACCTTAAAAAGTCATCAATATTTGATTGTATAGTGTGTGTGTGTTTGACTGAACCTAACATCATGCATATACTTCTGGAGGAAGGAGCCAGGCTGGGAGAATAGTCTACTCAGTTCCTAGAACACTATGAAGTGCTCCATAAGTAATAAACATGGCCATCATCTGGGGGTGGGAGGGTGGGGGGGCAGTCCAAGGGAAGAGATATCTGGGCAACATGTGTGAAGGCCTCTGGACTCGGGATAAACGGTCCCCTCACATTGTCCTCAGGAGGCCTGGTGCTCGTGACACAGATGAAAGGTCTACCCGTGGTGTGAGGAGGACATGGGTAAGGCCTTCTTCCCACACCTGACACTCAGTTCACTGCACGCCATCCTGAAACATCCTCGTCTACCTTAGGGGAACTTCATGAACACAGGCTGCCAGAGGTTTGCCTTCTGCCGCAGGAACTGCAGAAGATCTAGTAACGGGGCTTTTGTTACACAGCTTTTCCTAAATCTGAAAACAGATAACAGGCCTTTGGGAAATAAGATGTGTTTGTGGATCATGAGTGTGTCCGAGCCTCGCACAGATTCACCAGAGGAAAGTGGCCTTGTCAGTGTGGACCAGCAATCCCCATCAAGGCATAAGGTGTTGGTCTTGGGAGTGGAGGTAGAAACCTCGATGTTTTCACAGATTTGGTGCCCACTTCCCACGGCAAATGTCAATCTGGTGTTCATCTTTATATCTACACGATTCTAGGCCACTGATGGAAAAAATGGAAAAATTCAGTGGGCACAAAAATAAAGTTCCCACAAAAGATGTTGGTCTGATCTTTTCATTGCATGGAATATGTCACAGGGGCATGAAGCCATAGCCTGCAGTAAAAATGTGTAGAAAGAGGTGCCTGGGGGGGCTGGTTAAGTGTCTTCGGCTCAGGTCATGATCCCAGAGTCCTGGGATCGAGCCCCGCATCGGGCTCCCTGCTCAGCGGGGGACCTGCTTCTCCCTCTCCCTCTGCCTGCCACTCTCCCTGCTTGTGCTCTCTCTGTCTGTCAAATAAATAAATAAAATCTTCAAAAAAATTCGTAGGAAAAAACCCAAATCCACTTCCTTCTATGGAAATAAATGATCATTTCCAGAGGTTATAAAACCCTCTAATTTTACCTAAGTCGAAAACCATGACCTAAAAGAAACAGGAGGTGCAGTTCTCATTCTGTAATGCATAGGCTGGGGTTCCCCCTTACATTGATTATCTCTTCTAATACTTTTTGAAGCTCTGTATAAGCTTAAGAATGAAAACACACCTCTCCATGCCACGTGAGTTGAGAACGTTAGCCGGCTACAGGGCACTGACCCCTCTCACATGTAGTTAAGCTTCAAAATACCCTCAGCAATACACTTCTTTGGGCCCAGAGTCCTCCTAAAGCCAGCTGGCCCCAGCAGCAGCACTAAATGTTGGACAAATCCCGTATCACTTTCTGGAGAAAAGAACAGGGTTTTCCTAGCTCTTTGGCAATCTAGAAACCTCCACACGATACAGTAGACTCTCAAGTTCATTGATGCAGTGAGTGATAGAAAACGAACCTAGAGGTCTCCATTTATATCAGAGGTCTCCATTTCCTGAGATAAGGAATCTTTAGGATTTATAAAATTAAGTTCTTAAAACACTTGTGCTAAATGATTACAGAAAGCTGGTTTCCTTGAACACGGAAGTTTGGGTCCCTGAGAAGAGTATCAAAATAAGGTCTGAAGGTTGCACAGGAGAAGAAAATAATTTGCTTGGTGGGGATATGGTTGAGACCCTGCTCCAGGGACAGGCCAGAGAGCGGCCTGCAGAGGAAATCACCTATCATGCATCTCTGTGCTTCTGTTGGGACATTCTTTCGTGACTCCCCACTAAACAGCTTAGGAATTAGGGGAAAAAAAGGGATTAGAGCTCTTTCTACATCCAATTAGCCCAACCTCGATGAGAGCCAACTCCTAGAAATCCCCTGAACTAGGGCCCAGGTACAAATTCTCTTTATAGGGTAGAGCCCCTCTGAGTGTTTCCATCTCCCTCCTCCCAACCCCCAAGTCATGGTTAGCAATTCTAGCCCACTGACCTTGAGTCACGTGTCCAGCAGCTTGGTCTTCCAGGTTGGGGGTGTCTCCAATGCCTGCTTCCTCAGCTGGTTTATGGTCAGCAAATGAAGAAGATATAAGCAAAGACAGTTACTGTTTGTCAGAAACAAAGCTCTTTGCATTTTCCAGTATTTTTCCAAGAATATTCAGGAAAGGCACATCTTACGAGTACCAAGGGGCTGCTCCTCTGGCTCTTTGCAAATATTATTGCTGGGGATGTGGAAGAAAGCAGGTTACTAAGTGAACCCCACCACACCCACATACCTTCCACGTGACCATGAACTTGTAGGAAAGACCTTCTCCACAGTGGGCCCAGGGTCCAGAGCGCCCCGCTCAACAAAGACACGCAGGATGGGTGAGGTCAGAGAGGCCGTTTGCTGCTCAGCCTCTGATACTGGAACCATGTGTGAGCGGCAGGTGCACTCCCGGCCCCAGCCGGGGCTCTGGGGGCACCAAGGGTACAAGGAGACACTAGTTCTCTAGGGCTGTTGAGTCAGGCTGGGGTTCGCAACCAGGCACCACCATTTACTTAACCTCTCTGAGCCTGTTTGCTCATCTAGACCCCCAGGTGATGATGCTGACTTGTCTCGTCCAACGGTGGTGATGGTTAATATGAGAATTTGTGTGAATGTGTTTAGCTAAGTGCCAGGAGTATGGGAAGTGCTCTAAAGCTGTTTGGTTTCTTGTCTCCAAACTACTGGGCAAACCCCTCTAACCACGTGCTAGGAGTAGGTGTCACCTGGTTAGAGGGAAGGCAGAGGTGCCAGCGACCAACTTCTAGGGCGTCCTGGCCTTCTGCTCAGGGAGCCACAGGCCACCCCAAGTGAAGAAGACCACATCTTCAACAGTACCGAAATCAGTAAGCTTTACTGCGATGCCAATTTCTGCACCATGAAGAACCAGGACACTGCTCTGGACAGTGGATACAGCTGTCCAGAAGGAAGAGTCTATAAAGCAAGTTGGCCACTCGTTGATGCACGCTTGCCTCATGACCCCAGAAGAACCATCCTGCCCCGATGGACAGTGACAGAGAAGCCACCACCCTGAAGAAATGCCTACAAGTTGCTGGCTGGGCCACCAGTCTTTTCTCCCAGTCCTGCGATGTTTGAGATTTTACACCTACAACAGAAATGCCGAGTGACCAGCACGGGCCCCCCATGGAGAGCGCGGATGAGGGAACAGAGATTCTCGGGGTCGCTGGACAGCTGCACAGTGGCCTTATAAACACCTAGCCTGTGCGCTGTCCCAGAACAGCTGCAGTGAGGGTAAGAGGGGGCCGGCAGCGGGCTCCCCATTGGCCGGATCATAAACCTGACCACCCTCTGGGCCCCCACCAGCTGACACTATGTCACCCGCGAGGTTCAGTGGTGATAGGTCCGTGTCATTTGACAACAGCCAACTGTCCAAGAGACGCAGCTCCAAGCACAGATTTGGTCTGAGTTTCTGACGAGGCTGTGGTAGAAAGGCTTGGAGTGACAGCAAGTCCAGCTGAGTGGCACAGAGTCCTGGAGACCGAGAACAGGAGGGGACACGTGGGGATGTCACCATTGCTAGAGTGCTGGGAAGTCACTGCACTCATAGGCCAGTGCAGGGTTGAATATCCTGGCCCTGGCACGTGTCAGAAATCAAAGGCTGCTGATAACTCCGATGCCTCCTCCCCAGTTCCCAGCAAGGGGGGGTGCTCAGAGAAGCCAAAGGGGGCAGGGCAGGTGTATGACTGTGGGCGGGCCATCAGGTTACTACATGGCCTCTCTCTATCCCTGAAGCCCCCAGAAGCAGGGGCTCCCACCCCAGCAAGGCAGGAATTCCTGCAGTGGGGTGGCCATACTGCACCCCCAAATGGACCTCAAAGGAGAAGTTTCATCAGTGCACCAAGATACAGCAACTGTGACACGCCAAAGCAAGGACTAAACTAGGGTACACATTGTCCAAGACGATAGCTGGAAAAAAGTCCCCCAATTCTGAAACCTCCCTACCTCGTTGAGGATGTGGAGGGTGGAGAGGGGGGCTTGGAGTGTGGAGGACAGCTACGTGGCCACCTCTCATCTCAGTCCCATTGGAAGGGTTTCAAGGCACCACTCGGAGACACTCGGTGTGTGTCCCCTGTGGATAGCGACATGGCCGAGACTGCTGTCAGAATCCCACCTGGGAAAACCAGGAGAGATGGGCTGGCCCTGCTTTGGGGGCAGAGTGAAGGGGTGTGGCAGCAACCTATGTGGTCAGTCTACACACCCCAAGTTTGCTTGGGCAAAGAATGCCCATGTGTCTCCCACAGACCCGATACGGGCCCAGGGCAACAGTCGTGTGGAGACGTCTTGGACCACGGCCGGTAGGCCACCAACAGAAGCCAGCCAGCCTCAGCGCAAGTAAGCCTAGAGGGGGATCTTCAGATTTCAAGGGGCCGAGGAGAGTGAAGTGTCTGCTGGAAGCCAGTGCAGAGGGAGGGACCTGCGGGGGGATAACTGGGATCGAGGGGCTTGAAGAGCTCCAAACAGGTGCCCACGAGAGAAAGAGTCAACTTTAGACGCGGCAGAGCATTGTTTAGCTGTCTCACAGTGGTGCCAATCCAGGACGAATTTCCCTGCCTCCGGTCTCCCCTGCCTCCCCGGCTCCAGAGGGGAGGGCTATAACCCCGAATGAGCTTGGGCTACTGCAAGGAACTGGACATGCTACCCAGCACTCGAAGACTGCGTTTTGTGACTGAAGAGACTACAGTACTTTTGGTTACTTAGAAGTGATGACCAAGTCAAGAACAGGTACAGTTTTCCCCCTGGGAGGGGAAGGGCTCCCCCACTGAGTAAGCTGTATTGGGACGGGGGAGACGAAAATTGGGTTATCCAAGATCTCATCCCATGAGTCATTCCACAGCCTTCAAACGACCTTCACTGTCAGGATGAGGCCCCACCTCTCTCCATTTCAAAAGACCAACTCACAAAGCAGAAACTACTTTGATGAGTCGGTGTCGGTGGGGGGGTTGCTGCTGGACTTCTGCGTGGGTGTTCTCCACAAATGGAGCCCTGGAAAAAGGCTGCAGTTTCCCAAATGGCTGCCGTGAGCACCATCTTTAGGAAGGAATGAAGACTCCTGTCTGGGGATGTTTCCCCCACTCTCCATTGCTGGTGAAATCTTGTCCAGAACTCTTCTGCCTGTCTTGAGCACCCTCCAAATCACCACGCCAACAGCTGAATCTTTATGTAAGCCCAAAGAGGAGGACGAGAAGGGGATGAAAGCAAGCTCTCTGGGCTGAGCTCACCACTTCCTAAGGGCACGGGCAGCTCTGAGAGCCCCTGGTGGCCCTGAGGTCACCACTATTTCTGGTCGGTGCCCTGACTGAGCTACTCCCATCATCTGTGTTGACAGGGCAATCTGGTCATGCCTGTTCTATGCAAACATGTTTGAAGCAACGGTCCTAGAAATGGATGCTAGATCACATTGCTGAACTCCTTAGGGGTTGTCCCATTAAGACCCTCCAAAGGCGTGGGTTAGTCATCTGGACCTGCCACATGCCAGGGTACCCCACTAGGAGGTGACTCTGTCACTGGGCAGAGTCCCAGCAGGAGAGGGGACTGAGCTTGGGGGTGAAGAAGGCAGAATCTGCCACTGGCCTGCCTCAGAGGACCCGGCAGAGAGCTCTGAGCTGACATGCTAGCTGAGACGGGAGAAGAGAAGCTGGAAGGATTCCAGAAGGTCCTCTGTCCTCCGAGAGGCTGGCAGGCAGCCACAGAAGCAACAGGGCATCAAGGCACCAAACTCAGAACGACCAAAGATTCCCAGAACCCAGCATCCACCCACGTGGCTGCCTCGCTTGGGGAGAGCATCACCCCTATTCACACCCACTCCTCCATGTAGGGCAGCCGGGCACCCGGCAAGGGTCTCTTCCACCCCGCCATGGGAGTGACCCTCACCTGTGGCTCCTTCTGGGATCTCCGTGTGGGGCTGAGCGGCTGCCTGCTCTCCAGGGGCTCCCTCATCCACTAAGGGCGCTGTCACGTCTGAAAACCGAGAGTCGCCTTAGGGGGGCTAGAATGAGCCAGGCCAAGCCCCTCACCTTACTTCTAGTGTGGGAGCAGGCAGGGGCGGGGAGGCAGGAGGGGACTCAGCGGCATGCAAAAAGCAATACCACAAAGCAGGACCCAGAGCCGTGCTCTTGCCTGATGTCTCCGCAGGAAGCACATTCATATCCTGCTTGGTGGCATTGGCTCATGAGACGCCCAGGCCATCTGCTGGGGACAGCCCCCATGTCAACATTGCAGCAAAAGAGACTGCTGGGTGTGGGCCCAGGTGCTTTTAAAGAAGAAATGTTGAAAATCAGATCATCTCTGTGAGGCTTTGAGCAAGACCTTTGTTCTCTGGGCCTCAGTTTCCTCATCTGCGAAATGGGAGCAAGTGCTCTCCCAACTCCAAGCCCCCTGTCCCCTGAGCCCATGACTGATGGTTGGAAGCACAGACTCCCCTGGGCGGCAACGAACAGGCTGGTCCTGTCCAGAGTTGGGTGCTTGACAACAGGCCTACAGATGGTCCACCTTCAGAGCAGAGGCCAGAGGTAAAAACCCACCACCAGGAATGGCTGTCAGCCTCTCATCAGGGTTAACCCTTCCAAATCAGCAGTCCTCCCCGAGCACTGCCCTGGCACACTCCCAGGCTGTTCCAGGCAGACATAAGGAGTTGTCAGCTTTGAAAGCTTTCCAAGAGCCTGAGTCAGTTTAGTCAAATGGAACCCATTTTAATTATGGTCGTCTCGGGAGCAGGCTGAGCAGCCTGGCAAAGCCCACCCCCACCAGGGCCCCCTTCCTCATGGGGTGGGAGTGGAAGCTCTTGGGGCTCACACATGTACAGGATCCAGAGTGCAGCAAGACTTGGCTGGAAGATTCTTCCAGAATAATGTTGATGGGAGCACTGAAAACCTTGATTTGGGAGGCTGCCATGAAGTCTGGCGTTAGGCTCTGAGGATCTTCGCAGGGCGGTAGCAACTTGCAAAACTGTCCTAACAAGATCAGCGGGAAAGGTCTTGCATTACCAGCTCTAAGAAGAGCAAAGAGCACTAGGCCTGGGTATTCTCCTCACTAGGCTGAGCACCACGGGGGAAGGGCCACGCCCATTTTCTTCCCCACAGACGCATCCTTATGCCAAGCAACTGGCAGGCACTTGACAGTCGCTTTGTGAATTCATTCAAAAGTGGACACTTGGGGAGATGCTGGGCCAGGTTCTCATCCTGTGACCGCCTCCAAAGTCATGGGCAGGGCCAGGAGAAGTGCTGAGAAGCCTCCTGGGGGATGGATGGAAAGATGGAAGGGCAGATACCACAGACTGGTTACTCAAAAGCCATCCTCAATGCCCCTCTCCCTTGATTTCTCTGACTAGTAAGTCGGAAAGCAAAATGTTCCATGTTCCAGCCTCCCGCTTGCATCCAGGGCAGCCATGAGACTCAGCTCTGGCCAGTGAGACTTAAGTGGGAGTCAGCTAGCTGGGGCTTGTCGGAAAACTCTTGCTTTCCTAATAAAAAGGAAACACATTTGGTTTCAGGGCCCTTTTGGCCACTTTGCTTTGCTAATTTCTTCTTGCTCTGAAAGCAGATGTGATGCTTGGAAGTGCCACAGCCATCTTGCCACCATGAAGCAACAATCCAACTATTCAGGATGGCAGCAGATAAAGACAGAAGAGCGCTGATGACCCTGGGGACCTGCTGCCCTCCAGACGTCTTATTATGTGAGACACAGAAACCTCTTCATATCTATGCCCCAGCTAGTTGGGTTTTCCGTGATCTGAAATCAAATGCAGTCTCAACAGACATAGATGGGAAGAGCAGGTAGTCGAAATCGGGACCAAGGAGCTCTTCAGGAAATACATGAGGAGCTTTATAATAACCTAGACACCAAATGTCTAGAGAGGACAGGTTAGGAGATGTGCTGGAATGAACACCCTGGCCAAGGTCCAGAGGCCTAGACCAAGCCTAGAGCCCAAGAAATGAAGGATACTAAACCAGAGCAGTCCCAACATGTGAGCTTGGAGATGTGCACTGAGCCGGCCCCTTCCTCAGCCCAAAGGCTGCTCTGGGGCCTGGTGGCTCCTGAGAGAAGAGCAAGGTGGGTGGGGGCTTCTGAAGGAGTATGGGGAGGATGATCAACATGGAGCAGGGGCTTTGTGGAGCCATGCTCAGGCCCCGCTTTGCCACAGATCCTGGCCTCTGCAAATGCGGCCGCCTCAAAGCCCACACACGACGAAGGTGCCCAAACCTGGCCCTGGCGAGCAAGGCATCAAAGCAGGGCTTGGCTCCCGTCACATTCCGGGGCCTGAGCCCGTCCTGCAACGCCCCGAACAAGCATGTCTCTCAGCCAGAGGGAGAGGCGGCAGCCACCGCAGCCAGGAAGGGGGGCACGCAGGGCTGAAAGCATGGCTAAGCGCAGGCTGGAGGCGTGGAGCGGCTGTCTGAATGAAGCAATGACAGGAGGGCCCACCTTCGGCGGTCGGCGTGCTCTTAGCATCAGAGGTTTCAGAGCCCGGTTCCTCAGATCCATCATCAGCGGGGGTCTGCAGGGGAGATTCTGGAACATACACAATGAGCCCCTCAGAACGGCGGCCTCGCCCCACCCCTCCTTTTGGCTTCAGGAGGAAATGGGGAGCAGCGTCTTTCAGACCTGAAAATCCCCCAGCTGTGGAACCCAGATGGATGGGACGTGGCCACATGATAAATTCGCCAAGGGGACCAATCCCACCCCCACCCCAACACAACTGCATCCCCACACCAGGGTCATCAGGCAAAGATGCTCGTTCCTGGGTGAGAAGAGAAATTGCTTTTTAATCAGCTGGTAGTTTCAAAGGAGGCAAGGGCTCTTACACTGACAAAAGGGAGGCTGATACTACAAAGCCAAGCTGTAAATAAACCCGATGCTGTGTCTTTCCTGACGGAGAGGTTCATGGAAGATCACTACCACTCGTCGATGACAAGTAGACGCCTGGAAAAACACTCAGATCCAACTCCTTCCTCTGAAAAGGAAGGAGCTCAGGGCAGACACCGTGACTTGTAACTGGACTTCTGGCTGTGTGTCTGGATTTGACTCAGCTCCTTGCATAGAAAGATCTCCAAGTACTGACCGACGGAACTGGAGTCACACCAGTTCTGTAACACCTGAAATGTATGCCACGGTTGTCCACAAGACAACTGTCCTTTCAGAATCCGGAGCCAAGGAGGCTCTGGTGGGCTCCAGGAAAGCCACTCCACCCGGGGTGGGGGCAGCCTTGGAGACATTTTCAGGGCAGGGTCTGGGGGTGGGGGTGGGTTTGTGCACGAAGAAGAACCCCAAAATGAGAAAAGGCAAGTGGTGTTCAACTGCACTGGGAGATCAGACACCATTGCTAAAATGCTGGCACTGGGTACCCGGCCCTGGGGGCGACCATCTGGCCAGAAGAAGGGCCCATTCTAAACCAGTTTTCAGCACACACACAGCAGCCTGAGCCCGGGGCTTGCAAAAACCTGCCAACTGCCTTAAGAAGGCTTTGGACAAATGGTGAGGAAGCATCTGCAGACTGTCTGCTGGGTCTTGCCATTACTAATCAGTCTTGACTGTCCGAGTACAGAAGCATAAGGCACGAGGTGCCCCAAGCACGCTTGTCCCGGAATAGCCCCTCCCCTGCTCTGTCCCGAGCCTGCCATCCTCACCATTTCCATTAGCCTTGTTAAATTTCTTGGAGGGAGGGAAAGAAGGAGGAAGAAGCCTCTTCTGAATGTCTTATCTGGAAGGTCTAAGAAGTTATCCCACTAACACCTTTTAGTTCCTTAGGGTGCATTATTCTGTCAGTTAACCCCCTGTCCCCTCTCCCACCTGGCAGCTCTTGGCTGTATCGAATCCTTGTCCAACTGGGAGCCTCCATGTAAATACTCTTCGTTCTAGTATTTTATACGTGGTTTCTTGTCATTATTCAAGATAGTCAGTCACTTATCTAAAACGTTGCTAGTAAAGTGACACCTTCTTGCCAAGTCATACTGCTCACTCCCCGTATAAAAATAACTCATTTTAAATCCTTAGAAGCAAGAATAAATTTGATGAGAACTATGGAATCTCTTAAGTATCATTTGCTTTCTTAGGAAGTATATGCTTTGGGTAAACAAACTATATACAAACGTTTTCCTTTCATAACAGTGACAAAAAGTTAGCAACTTAAATTTTGCATATATATATGATACCTATATCATATATATATATATATATGTTTTAGCATAAATCTCCTGATCATGTTTTATGAAGAATTGCGTGGTTTTAGGAAGCATATGTGAGACAATTGTGAAACACAAAAGAACTTGGTAAGCTTGTTCTAACCTTACAAATTGAATTTTATTTCTCCTCCAAAAAGTAGGAATGGTAAAAACCACCTTTTCTCCTAGACTTTTTTTTTAATGAAATTTTTATTTGAGAGCAGTTTTAGATTTACAGAAAAATTGCAAAGATACTCCAGAGAATATACCCCACATCCAGCTTCCCCAATTATTAACATCCTACATTGTTACAGGACATTCTTTGCAACATTGTATATATTTTAAATTTAATTTTTAAACCAGCCTACTCTAAATAGAGCATCACTGGCACAATTCACACGGGGCAGAATTCAGTACATGGTGATTCTAAGTTGGATTCCACCCACGAGGGGTTCCCAGGGCACCTGGCTGAGGGACAAGGGACAAAACGGATGACAAGGAGCTGAGCAGCCCTTCTGATAGGGCAGCACCACCTAGCAGCCTGTGACTCAGAGAGGGAATTCCCCTTGTCATCTGTCAACCAGGGAAAGTGACACCTGCCCTTAGCACTTACTGTGAACACTGCCTGAGACATTGATGGCGAAGGCGTTTGCAATCCTAGAGTTCTACAAAAATGCCTGAATTACCATTTTAAGGAAGTTCCCTTATAAGCAGGGTGGCCACAGACTTTATTACCCAAATCGGGACACTTGAGTTTGGAAGCAGCGATGGCCATCATGACATAGAACTGACTTGCGCGGGGATGTGTGGGCTCAGGTCCTCAGAGGAAGGAGCTCTTAGGGCCCCAGTCAGGGAGTCAGGGAGTCAGGGAACGAGGCAAACTCTGGCTCCCATCCCAAGCTGCCTCAGCCAGTGAGGGCTGTGGGGAGAAAGCTGGGGTGCCACTAACCTTTGGAATCGAGTCCTGGGGGCCACCACCCCTCTCATTCTACACGCCTGGGGTCAGGGTGGAGACAGAAAAGGGGAAGGGGCTGTAGAGGGAGGGGGTGGGGGGGAGAGAGCAGGAGAAAGAAAAACAAGGTGGGAAGAGAAAGAGGGAAGGAGGAAAAGGAGAACGTGGGAGAGGAGGAGACAGTGGGGGACAAAGGGAGTAAGAGAGCGAGCAGGACTGAAAGGAGAAAGCAGATTTCTTCACTGCCCTCCCTGGGAGCCGCACCTTAACAGCTCTGGCTGGAGCCGGGCTATGGTTGGAGAGAGGTCAGAACGCACATTTTTTTGCCCCCATTTGGAGTTTGACATTAGGAGGGCAGGTCTGCCTCCCTGGGACACTTGGCTGGCATGGATATTTCCCCACCCTCCCCTCCCCCAGCACCTGGGAGGCCCTGAGAAGGCCACAGTGCAGCCTCTGAGCTCCCCAGGATAGCGTACCCACTCTTCCTTCACCTCCTCCAGCTGGGAGCCCACTTGTCTGATCCCCGGGTTCCTATGACTCCTACATTCTCTGCTTAAACAGAGAGACAGAAGTCACCTTTGGAACCAGGCCCCCGAGAAGTCCTGCAAGTAGGGATTATTGCTCCTCACGCTTCCCCAACCCAGGGGACCTGCTGGAGACCCCACCTCCTGCAGGGAAACTTCCCGGACAGATGAACCCTCTGCCACTTCCGGCCACTACTCCATACCCCAGGCTGCAAAGTGTTTTTATTATTTTTAGCATTAACAGAGAACAAGAGCAGGCTGTTTGCTATTTTGTCTCCTTAGAAATTGGTCTGGAGGGCAGGGACGGAATCCTTACACTAGGGCCGCTTGGAGCTGCAGGCAAGGACGCAGAGGACGGCGTCCGAGGCAGGAGAGGGGGCATAGTGTTCTCCAGGGGCCTCCCCAGACTCCGTGGTCAGTGAAATGAAACACATGTGTTTGGTAGGGGAGAGGAGGAGGCCAAGACGATTTGGCCCAAAGACTGTATTATAGACTGTTTAGAGGTTTCGAGGATGCAGTTTGTTAGTGTAGGTACAGCAGGAATCCCAGAGCTGACCGACTCTTGCTGAAACAGGGCCCAGGCAGGCTCGTAAGGAGGACACACAAATAACACCCAAAGCTGAGGATTCTGCATGCTAATGCATGCGGCTGGTTTAAAGATTAATCGATGTGGCTGAAGACTCAAGTGAGCACCCTGCATTCATCAGACTGACAAACCCCCTGCAGTCCTTGTCATGCTGTTGTCCACACGTGTCAAACTCTCCTTTGGAAAGGTATTCTCAAAGAGCCTCACATTTTGAGTTCTCTTGGCCCTTCCAAATTAAGAGGCTTCACTCTGTTGACAATCCAACAGAAGTATTTAAAATTCCTTTTAAAATGCGCACCCCTCCGGCCAGCCCTTCCCGGAGCAAGCGCCTGAGCGTGCTGTGTGTGCGTGCATGGCCATGCACTCACCTTTCAGGCCATGGTCCACGTCCCCTTCGTGGTCTTGCAGTAGGGTGTAGCCCCCCTGAGAGGGGAGATCCTTCCTCTCCCCCATCCCGTACGCCCCAGCATGATCTTCCATCATGGTGAACTCCTGGCGGGGCTCAGCCATCCTGGGTCAAGGCCCACCTGGGGAAGGGAGATGGGGAGGATGAGCGGGGCATGCTGAGCGGAGGGACCTACACGCTTGGGGGGTGGGGTCGGGGAAGGGAGAGAAGTGCCACCTCCCCAGGGGGTCGTAGAAGACAACTCTCCGCCTCCCCATCCCCTCCCCATGGGATGCCCAACCTCATCCCATGTGCCCTGTTTCCCTGTATGGGCACTTTTTTTTTTTTTTAAGATTTTATTCATTTGACAGAGAGAGACACAGCGAGAGAGGGAACACAAGCAGGGGGAGTGGGAGAGGGAGAAGCAGGCTTCCCAGGCTTCCTGCCAAGCAGGGAGCTCAATGCGGGGCTCGATCCCAGGACCCTGGGATCATGACCTGAGCCACCCAGGCGCCCCCCTGTATGGGCACTTTTAATTCACCTGTATCACATCCAGTCCTACTCAAAACCACCAGGTGGGCAGGTCCAGCGGGCCTGACTTGTTAAGCCCAGCACTCCTTCCACTTCATTAAAATATAAATGCTGCTGACTAGTAGCTTGATTTTAAAAATTTTTTAATGGAAAGCGTAAGACCAAACAGGAGAGGGAAGACATCAGCAGGTAAGGAAAATGAAGCAGTGGCTTTTATTTCTAACCCTTTAAAAATCTCAGCTCTGTCTTGATTTATTTTACATGTATTCGATTGATTTATTACATAGTTACATAAGTATACATAATAAATACACACATGTAAATGTAAGTATATGTAAGTAAATATATATAATAAACACAAGCTGACTTATTTTACATGTATTTATTTATATCTTTATAGTGTTTTGTTATTTATATCTTTATAGTGTTTTGTTACTTTTTGCCCCAGATTTATGTCAGTTTTTCATTTAATTAATATTTTAACTTGAGATAATTTTAGACTTACAGACTTACAGATAATTTTAGACTTAGTAAAAGTAGCCCAGAGGATCATTTTATTATTTCTAACCTTTTGAAGTCCCTTTCAAATATATTTGCCTATGTTATCCTTCTACCTTTCTGACTTTTTACATTGTGTTTGTTTTCTTTTAATCTTTCCTTCTTATAATTGTAACTTTTATAATTTATCATAATTTTAATCTAAATTTAGTCTTTATTTTCATTTTTAAAATGTGTGCTGCCATTTCCCCTTCTTTAATTGCCTTCATTTATGTTCTTTCTTTTATTCTAATTGGATGTAAACATTACTTAAAAATAAAATCTTAAAAAAAAAAAAAAAGAATGAGCTCAGCAGGACCTCTGCTGTGTGGGTAGCCTGGCCCCACTTAGGTATTCACCGCCTATAGAGAAGGGGCCTCTTTTCATTCTGACCGAGGACCCTGTGCCTCAGGGAGCTCTTGGCAAAGGCATTGAAGATTGAGGTTCTTAAAATCTTTGACATCTCCCCAACGATGAGCAGGATTTTATTTTGGGCAGATCAGAGTGCCCATTCATCCTTCAAGACTTAGGACTTGGTGGTGATATTCTCTAACCTTAGATATGCTAATGGTCTGTTGCCCTTAGAAAGTCCCAAAACATCAGAACCCCTCTTCTAAGAGGGACCAGTTATCTGAGAAAACTATTGCTCCCCACCCAGCTCTAGGAAGTAGCATCTTCCTCACTGGTGGAGCCTCTCAGGGCGTCCCTGATCACCACCCAATGGTTTGTCCCCGAGACTGGTCCATGAGTCACTTCATCTGGCTGAGTCATCAGATGCCCCACCCTGGAGCGGTGGGATCACCCCAGAAGCTCAAGGCCTCCCAAGCTGGCTGGAGACACTACACCTGACCCAGATGAGCCAGGCTAGCCAACTCAGGTTACCCCGTGCAAGCTGCAGCTCAAGATTCAGTGAATGCTAAGTTTAATGAGCTCTGTGGTTTTGTCCTTTAGATTTGATCAATTCCTTTCAATGAATGACCAAGTTTCCCCTCCTGGAACATGGTAGATAGAGGTGTACAAGTAAAAATCTCATTTACTGGTTTCCTCTTTTATAAAATGCCCGTTTATATCCTTTGCACCTCTGTTCAGATCTCAGCACTCATTGTTATGACTTGAGTGGGCTCTTCATACATCAATAACATCAACCCTTTATCACATTTGTGGCAGATAGTTTCTCCAGTCAGTCACCTTTATTTTGGTTCCTGATGGCTTCTTACCAGCAAGGCTTTTTTTTTTTTTTTTTAAGATTTATTTATTTATTTGAGGGGAAAAGGGCAAAAGGAGAGGGAGAGAGAATCCTCAAGCCGACTTCTCACTGAGTGTAGAGCCTGACTCGGGGCTCGATCCCAGGACCCTGAGATCATGACCTGAGTCGAAACCAAGAGTCAGCTGCTGAACTGACTGAGCCGCCCATCGCCCCTGGCCAGCAAGTTTTAATAGTTATATAGTCACATCTATTTTCCTTTGTGATTTATTCTATTGCTACGGCACACAAAGATCATCGATTTTTTCTTTTTTTTAAGGCTTTTATTTTTTTACTTTTTAAAGATTTTATTTACTCATTTGAGAGAGAGAGAACACACGAGGGGGAATGGCAGAGGGAGAAGCAGAAGCAGGCTTCCCGCTGAACAGGGAGCCTGATGTGGGACTCAATCCCAGGACCCTGGGATCATGACCTGAGCCGAAGGCAGATGCTTAACCAACTGAGCCACCCAGGCGCCCCTCATCAATAGCTTCTGCTACGTTTTCAGTGATCTAATTCTTTACATTTGACTTATTAATTCATCTGGAATTTATTTAGGTGTATGACATGAGGTGAGAATCTAAACATTTCCTCCCAAATATAATAGTTAAACCAACGGCCCAGCCCTAGTCATAGAATCTGTCCTCTCGCCCAAGCAAATGAACCAGCTACTCTGCCCCACTTATCTGCCTGTATTGGTGTTAAAGTTGCCCCCCACCCACACCCCCGAGTGAAACTTTGGATCTCAAGTCTTATTCTTTAGGTGGCCATGGACACTCTCATTTTCTTTTTCAAAACTGTTTGACCTTCTGGGGCGCCTGGGTGGCTCAGTTGGTTAAGCGTCTGCTTTCGGCTCAGGTCATGATCCCAGGGTCCTGGGATAGAGTCCCGCATCGGACTCCCTGCTCGGTGGGGAGCCTGCTTCTCCCTCTCCCTCTGCTGCTCCCCCTGCTTGTGCACTCTCTCAGATAAATAAATAAAATCTTAAAAAAACCCAAAAAACTGTTTGACCTTCTTGCATGTTTTCTCTTGCAGATGTCCTTTAGAATATTTTTTCTCAAATTCTCAAAATTCCATTGGGATTTTGGCTGGAATTGTGTCATGTGCCAAGATGATAAAAATTGCTCTCTTCAGAATATTTAGTGTTCCTATTGGAGGAGCATAGTGTGTCTTCCCATTCATTCTGGTTCCCAAATCTCTCTGCGTGGAGGTGGGGAACGTAGGCCTGCACTTCCCTGGTGGGGAGGTCACTCTTGATGTCTTGCCATCTTCTGTGCTGACTTTGTGAGTGGGACCCTCACCCTCATCGTGCTGATGATTTATGAAGGGATCTGGGTTTCTGCAGTGGAGGTGATCAGGCTGCAGTTCCAATGCCGAGACTGGCCCAGAAGTGACAGGTTCCCCTTGAGGTCTCCGGGGAATAAACACAGGAAATATTTTCTAGGCCTCTCTCTATCAGACAGATGTGATCCCTTAGCAGAAAATCTCTCACTCAATGAGCTTGTGAAAAGAAGTTGGCAGAGTTCAGGAGGGTTTTGCAGAAGAATGCAGGGGTGGGAGGGGGCATTCTCCTCTTTTCTCTACTCCTGAGGTCGGTTTGCCCTCAATCCAGTGGTTGGTTGCTCCTATTTTAAAATCACTGGTTTTCGAGAAAGCAGTTCTTCCAAAGGAGCCCGGGAGGTGTGAGACGCTGGGGCCCCGCAGGCACTATATGGTTTGCCACATTCTGCTCATGGTTAAGTCATGAAGTCCCAAAGCCCACCCTCCACTTATGCCCTGAAAAGGGGGGGCTCCCCGATTAAAGTTCTCTTCTTCCGACAAATGGTACAGCCACACATCCCAGCCCTAAGACTCTCAGCCAAAGACAGCAGACTGGAAAACACAAAAATAAGCACAGCCCTGAGGTGGGTACACAGCCCAGACTAGACTTGGTCACCACCCCATGGATCCCTGTAATCTAAGAGGGACGCACAGACGGGAAAATAAACACACAGGGAGTTGTTTTCCGAAGGCTACCCTCTGCTTTCTTATTCTTCTAAATCAACCAATTTCTCCTCTCTCTCTCTCTCATTTCCTACCTCCTATTTTCCCAGGCAGTGACTTAAAGGCAGTGGGGGGTAGGAGGTAAGCAAGAAATTTTAGGAGAGGCATAAAAGTTGAGTTAAATTTGTAAACTAAAAAGGGTCATTTTTTAGGCACCCTTGGGGAAAGTTCCTAACTAGAGAAGACAAGAGCCAGAGCGTCCTGGGGTCTGTCCCTGTCATTCTGGAGCTGAGCCAGCTTTGGCCTGCGAGGGAAGGCGCCTTGTCCTGTGAGAGGTCACATTCCCAGCCCCATGCCACCTTGCTGATGGACAGAGTCAGAGTGGGGCAGAGAAGGGGTCAAGTGTCCACAGGGTGAGAGGGACAGACAGACAAAGAAGACATACAGGTGAAGACAGGATAAGGGAAAGGCAAGGGGGTGAAGGCACAGGGAGGGATGAATCCCTGAATCAAATCATGACTGCTGCTACCCAGTCTTTTATTATTATTATTATTATTATTATTATTATTATTATTATTATTGAGGAAAAAGTCACACAACGGAAGATTAACCATTTTAAAGTGAACAATTCAGTGGCATTTAGTACATTCACAATGTGGGCAACTACCACCTCTAACTAGCTCCAAAACATTTTCATCACCCCAAAAAGAAACCCTGTGCCCATGAAACGGTTTCTCCTCATCCCCCCTACCCTACTCCCTGCCGGCCACCCGTCTACTTTCTGTCTCCATGGATTACGTATTTCAGGTAACTGAAATCATTGACTATGCGGCCTTTTTTGTGACTGG